TTTGTTTGATATTGAAAAACAATATACAAATAAATTTTATATAATACTAGCGACTTATTCTCGCTTCGCACGGGTTCGTGCCTAGGTGCGTTTTAAATATATTTAAATAGTTATTAGCCAACATTAGTCATGTAAATTTCAATATTTTTTTCGTGTTTTTTTCCGATTTTTTAATAGTTAATCTGCTATTCCAGACGGTCCAGCCGTTCTTGTGTAATAATATACATATTATTATTACCATATTTGTAGGCATTAGCACAAATAACACAATAAGATAATTAAAAGCAACCATCATCTCTAATTGTTAAAAATCGTATTGTACATAAAAAGCCTTAAAATTCATCTCAAACCAGGCCACTGGAATATCATGTTTTTTTTAAATAAATCATCACTTATATATACTATATACACTTATGTATACTATAGTTAATTAAATAAATGTTCAATATCTTATATGTAACTTCATTACACTTAATCCTCCGATCGACATCCCTAATATCTGTATTAATTTAATTTACTGAAAAATAAAATATACGCGCGCTGCGTTCACGAAAGCAGCCTACATAATATTTTAATTAAACATTAATTCGGTTGTAATAAAGCGAAGGATAAACATAATTAAAAATGCCAGCGGCAGCGCTAGCGATTTTATAATATCATACATAAATAATTGAAAACATTAAAGATTTTGGAAACCATATTGATTTTATTCAACAAACTCATACGATCTTAATATATATTGCACCTTTTATAATATTTACCCAAATACCATGTCCATTTGTTGTTTATGCACTTTGGTTGCCCGCATTAAGTAAGCTTTGTTTCCTCTCATAACAATTTCACGTAGTGGTAGTATTAGAAGCCACTGTGTATCACTTTAAATATTTCTAGTACACGATCTGCAATTAGTTGCAATTAAATTATTATTGAAATTAGTATTTTGAATATAAACTATCTATATTTTTATTATGAAAAATGACTGTCAAAATAAATTCTACTAAAATATTATTATTTTTTCTTTTTCGGTTTCGGTCGGAAACGACATGTTTATTTTATTACAGTACTAGTGCCTCCCTAGATACGTGCACATAGCATTGCTAAAGTTTAATAGGAAGATCTTTTTAAGAGAAATAATTCTGTCATTGTTTTCTTATATCATTTTATTAGTTTACGCGGCGCACGCCGATAGAGCTCTCAGTCGGCATGATTTTTTCCGACATCTTCAACAATCATAGCCATTTTCAACCAAATTTACACAAAACCATAATTAATTATACATTTAAACCTTTCTCAAGAATCACTCCATTTATTGATAAAAACTATATGAAAATCCGTTCGGTAATTTTTGAGTTTATCGCGTTCAAACAGATAGCCAGACGCGGCGGGCGACTTTATTTTATAATATGTAGATATGTTCGGAAAAAAGTGAGGACATATGAGAATCTTGATATCAAGTCTAACTTAAAAATAAATTAAGTCGCCAATAAAGTCCAATCATAATCGATATAGTATAATTATTATTGTAATAAAATATACAAATACATAAATGCCAGAAATAACTATAAGTTTATGATTGTATAAGCACTTCAAAGGCGCTAAAATGACTATCATATTTCGTAGAACCATTTCGTTTCATAAGCACTCCTAAAATATGATGCTACTGAGTAGTTCACGTTGCATTACGGTCAGTACTGATGACCAACAAGGGACGTCTTCGTACAAACCTGTTAACTATAATTATTATTATACACAGTACCCATACATCGGCTCTCATCCGGTCAAGATCAAAGCTCTTCCTTTGCAGCCTTCTCTTGCGTGTTTGCATATTATTCAAATACTATAAAAAATTAAGGCAAATAGACACATAATTATAATTACTTTTATCAACCACATATAAGTATTAATGTGTGAGTGTGTCATTGAGCGTGCGTGCATGTCTGCGTGCATGCGGTCTTGTTGCGTAATCGCATTTTAATTTCTGGCTCTACTGATACAAGATAATTAATGTTTACATAATATATACCTTAACTTCTTGTACTATTCTAGATTTATAGTTACCATTTGATTTTAGACGTTGATGTGATGACGTTGTTATCCAACAAAAACGTTTTCAAAAGAATAAGTTGTATTTAAAATATTAAATGTAATTCGAACCTTACCTTATAACCAAATGGCATTCACGGTATATATTTTTTTTAAGTGTCCTACGCGTGTACTACGAATTTTTAAGGATAATAACTACAATAACATCATTTTTGTGAGATCGTTCCAAAATAGCGGCTTTACTTATTTATAGAAGGAAAAAGTTTTATTATTGCATATCAGGTCACTATCATCAGGCAATCTATTCCATACTAATTGTTAAAACCTACCTAGAGATGAACCCATACAAAGCGAGGGTGCTTATTTAATAGTTTGACTTAAATTAGAAATATATTTCATTTTTCACACGCAGAAAACCCATGTGAAATATAAGGATGTACCTAACACAGAATATTCGTGAGCTATGTCGTTGTGAGTGTTAGCTAAAGCTTTTGCGTATAAGCCAAAAACATTAAATTCCAAAAGTATCTCAAAGTATAAAATATTGATTTACTTTTCAAAGTACCTTGAACAAACTTAATAAATCTTTATTCTGTTCAAGATTGTTTTAGCTACGTTAATTTATTACTTAACATAGCTAAAACAATCAAAAAAATATAAGTAGGTACATACTAGTATATCTTACTCAGCTCAAATCAGTTATATAATATTTATCAAATAATTTCAAAAAATATACTAAACCATATTTAACAGATATATAAATTATTAATTGACGCGTTTACCTCAATTTGTAGTGACCCTACTTGTTGTGCCATCGGTCGCAGGTTCGAATCTCACTGGAGGCATTCATTTGGATGATGAGCACGAATAATTGTACTCCAGTCATGGGTGTTTATAATATATATTATATTCTAAATATGATATAATATTTACATATTAAGTCTTTAAAGTTATAATATATATACACAAGCCTCATAGCTTACCATAGAACGAGATGGTGCTGTGTGTTAATATCCCAACATATTTATTTATTAATTATTTAAGTATGAGCACTTTAATATTTTAATTTTATCCTGACTTAATGGATATCTTCTAATAATAAGATCTACAGAATTATGCAGAAAGACACCCGCAGAAGTCGTTATCACAGAGTTCAAAGGAAATTCCGGTTGCCAATAAATGAAGCTCTATGAATTTTCCCATAGGCACCGATCAACCATATTTAATTAATAAAGTTAATTAATATTGTTTGAACGTGGCTGCAATGAAATCTATACACATCAAATAGAAATTGGAGTATTTCTTAAACAATTTGAAAAATTAAACTTGTAATAAATTGTAGGTACAATTAACAATACTAAGTTTTGCCTAACAACAGCTTCGAACCATATTTATTAACTTTCATCTAATAATCTGCGTTCTCATAAAAAAGTCCTTAAAATAAATTCACAAAGTATAGTAAGAAGAAAAACAAAGATGAATGAGCAAATTAACTTGAAATAAGTACCTTATTATTGTTTCACTGATTTTGTTTGCTACAAACTTGATTCCGGATTTTTCTGAACGTAACACATCATTAAAAACTTTCCAGGCTTTTTTTTATTTATTTTCATCATGAAATGGGTCGTGCAAAGTGAAAAACACTCTGAAACACCATTAGCGAATTACCTATTTATTAAATCCGTCACTAATCCGTGGCCGCAGCTTTGATACCCCACCGTACTAAATGCGACTCGGAAAATATCTCTAACGGCACAAACATTTGCATTTAATTCAATTTGCAAAGATAAAATGATGATATTTACACTAAATAGGTATACATAAAGATATATGTATACCATTATATATATTTTTCCACATAAGCGCTATTTTCACGTGTTAAATCGAAAGGAGCTAGACTGTAGCCTCTAGGGAGCCATATATAAATTTCACGGAATTACTACTTACCTACTGGTATCATCATAGGTGGTACTGAAAATCATATCTTAACAACTACTATACATATCTTCTTCAAAGGAAAGTATTTCATTGAAAGTTAAATAAAAAAGAAATAATATTAGAGAAGGGAAATTTTCATCACCCGCCTCACACAATGCTTACGACTTATGATGTACTAGTGGCTCACCCTCGCTTCGCTCGGGTTCGCCTCTAGAAAGACAAAAACAAACCTATCCCACGGTAACCCCACATTTTTCCCGGATAAAAAGTAGCCTATGTGTTATTCCAGACTATAATCTATCTCTGTGCCAAATTTCATTCAGATCCGTTCAGCCATTCTGGCGTGAAAGAGTAACAAACATACATCTATACTAACAAACATATTATATCTATACTCACAAACTTTCACATTTATAATATTAGTATAGATTAAATTTCAGTACCGTACCATCAATTGTCTCTGAATAAAATGACTGTGACATACAGACAAACGGATATGACGAAATTATATGCATTCCACTTATAGCCTTTAGGCTACGATACTCTAAAAAAAAGAATAATTGAATTTGATTCAGATTTTGCATAGAAATCGCATAACATATACAAAAAAAACACACATTAAAGAAAAACTCCACATTTTAGAAGCCGTTAAAAATTACAGTTTAATCATGTCTAAATTGATGAAAAAATCAAAGCAAAGAAATACGAACCTAATTATAATCGTTCCAACATTATGAAGCAGAAAAAACGTAAATTGTCGTAGCAAGAACGTACTCGTAGCTTCCGAGGTTTGTAGCAACAGTTGCCTACGACGCGCGCTACGACACGCTCGCACTTGCGTTATCCATTCCGAAAAGACTGACTGCTTCGCGAAGAAAACTTTATAAAAAAATCAAATATATTATTTATTGTAATACTTATTATTTATTTCGATGGCTTAAATATTATTTAAAAATAGATTATGGCTCTCGTAATGTGACACATGAAACAAGGAACTAATTATAATTTTAAAGATGAAGATGAAAATATTTTTTTGGTGTTTTCTCCTCTTCAATCCCAGAGGTAATTTGTATTCGTTCTTAATTTAATAACCCTTGACAGCCAAGATGAAGAATAATCTTGAAAGAAAATAAAAGTTATAATACTTCAAATGATTTTGTTTTAGAAATTAGCTTAAAATACTTTTTGGTGCGCGATAATAATTTTCAAAGTTAATTCATACGTAATATTAAACAATATTTTATAAATTTATTATATAATATATCAAAAAAATATACACAATTAGGTACATTTTGATAAAAATAGTTATGCCTAGACAATAAATCTCTATGGTAAATACTGACAGTATAACTTTTTACTTTTAGTTTCAATTTGTCTCCGTGTAGTTGGTATATCGGTTCCTAGTCTCAAGCAAAGAGGTGAATCGGTGACATTAACATGTGACTACGACCTCGAAGGGGGAAAACTTTACTCAGTGAAGTGGTACCGAGACAACGAGGAGTTCTACCGATATATGCCCAGGCTTCGGCCACCACAGCACGCACATAAATTAGAAGGAGTAAGAGTTGATGTAAGTTGCCAATGCCTTATTTTAATATTTCTCTTTAACGGCTTATAGGTGCGTGCCACCTAGGGAATGACCCACCAAATGATAGTCTAAGAGTGTACCAAATTTCATCTAAATCTGTCCAGCCATTTCGGCGAGAAAGATTAAGAAATGTACAGATACATACATACAAACAAACTATAATATTTATAATAGTAATACGATTTGTTCAGCCCCTGGTAGGAAGGATACAAAGATTGAAATTGTATTTTGATTTGTTTACTTTATACTGTCACAATTGATATATGATATTCAATAGAAACGCGAAACATCCAAAACATAATCAAAATATTCAATTACATCTTCCCGAATATGAGACAAGGACTTTAGAACGCATTAATGTTCTTACAATACACGATAGATTCGCGTTCTCTCACGAGTTATGACGTTAGCAGAATATTCCTTAAAAATGATAATATCCATATTATATCCAATAATTACACTACGGGACTTAAACGCGTGAATTTTTTAGTGGCCATATACCTTATTCCTGACGTTTTGACTTGCCATGATGGCACCAGCCATCAGCCAGTCAGGCAGAACTGCCCGTGACCACGCCTGGTGCAACCCAGTCACTTTTAAGTCCCGTAGTGTAATTATTATATAATTATGGAACGCGAAAATTTAAAAGGCTATATATTATTATATCCATCTCTTAATATGTGCACAAATATATATAATTACTTTCAAATAGTTAGCAATTTTGCGTTTGTAAATATAGCATAAGTTTTATGTTTTTAATTCATTAACCATTTTAATTGGACTTTCAAAGGAAATATACACCGAAAATTTATTTTGAAGTTGTCTTATTTTACTTATATTGATTGTTCTTACTGATAAATAATTTATAATTGGCTGCTCAACTCATGTGTAAGTTAGACAGTGTCAAAGTTACATCACTTTGTAAGTTAATTTTGCTTGCATTCCACATTTGCCCTAGCTGAAGCATCCCAATCAAGTGCATAAGTTAGCTGGAAATGGGATATAAGCTAACATCGTTAAGCTTTATAAACGCTGTTTGTTTATCCAGTGTCAATATTGGATTGGTTATAAAGTTAGTGGTAATTAGTCCAATGATTTTGGTTTAGATACCAATATTAAAGCGAATTTAATATTATTACTACACAGTTACACGCAAAAGTGGCCATAATTCTATGTATTTACTATAGCTGCATACTGCTTTCAGTTCTGCTATAATTATCGTTCTTGTAAAGCACATTATAAAAATATTCCTTAAGGACATATTAGGTCTTACAAAATTATCAAGCCTTTGTTTTTTTTTTTTTTCTATAATGGCTTAGAGTTGCGTTAACAAACGCAATATAATCTGCCAGTGTCACGTATTTATGAGGAAGACACGACTGAGTTTGAGGGGTAATTAAGAAAAGCAGTTTTAACGTGGAATTGTCATAACTTTAAGAAGATATGACAGTTATGTTACATATTAAATTTTTAAGCATGTTTACTTTCAAACATTACACATATCACGGATATCCTTATTTTAATTATTTTCAGTTTATACATGATTATAATTATTTATTAACCTTTTTATACGAATGTAAATTCCTAATTTCTTTTTAAGAACTTCTTTTAGTAAAATAATAAAACTAATTTCTATATATAGATATAAATAAATGATAGAATAAAAAAAATCATGTACTTTTTTAACTGTACTCCTACAACATCTTCCAGTACGGCTTAGTATCGGCTAAATTGAGCGTCAGTATCGAATATTTGCAAATAATAAAGGGGTAGGTGAGTATCTAGGCCGGTACCAGCTAATCCAAATGGAAGTCGAATATTCAGCAGCCCTCACGCAGGCGTACTAACCAATCAAGCGTATTACATTCCATATATATGTATACATACTAATTTTATTATTTAACTTTTGCCCGTGACTCCACTTGTGTGCTCTTAAATTTATAAATATAAAACAAAGTTGTGTTAGTTACACCATTTATAACTCAAGAACGGCTGGACCAATTTTTATGATATTTGATTTATTGGATTTCTCTTAGTCCGGACTAGGATAATAAGTATTAAAACATCGAAATAATTCACAAAAAAAATTCAAATCTACATGGCTAACACTGGCTAATAACTATATAAAACGTACCTAGCGACGAACCCGAGCGAAGCGAGGGTGAACCGCTTCTAGTTATTATATGTATGTTACTGTCAAGTGAATTACATACATTCAGTAAAGGGCCCATCAAAATGGGTTACGAAGTTCTTCTTAGTCCTTTTATTCTGTGTGCAAGAACTTATTTCTTTTCCAAATAAAAGCAGCTTAATTAAAGCCGATTAATATTTTATATACTTATACTTACACAGTAGTGTTTTATATATGCATTATTTTATGACTCTAGATCGTTTCTGTCATTTTCACGGTGATAAAACAACTAGTATGTAAATAAAATAATTTTAAAATCATAATTTTATCATTAACTACAAAATTACTAAAATGTTACGACTTTCAGTGATTTTGTGAAATTACATTTATTTTAAAAATATCTTTAATATTTCGCCAACTATTTATTAATTTTAATCGAAAATATGTCGGTAGCCGTTTCTCAACTAAGCAGGGCCATAAAGATGACCTACATTTTTTTTTCAATTAACTCTACTTAGAATATTTTCTTTAAAAATAATAAAGTCTAGACTTCAAATAGATTAGATTAATTTAAAAATTTATTGAAGTTATCTTTTAAGACTTCATAATATGTGGCAGTGTAAGTATGAAATTATTTTGTTTTATTTCAAGGCTTTCGAATGGTAGCTAGAAAAATAAGACGACATGATCCGTAAATAGAAAACAGGTGCTCTAACTAGGGATTTTGCAATGATGTCTACAATCTACGTATTAGGTACCTATTTTTTAACTTTATATATGACTAGCATTGCCCGCGGCTCCGCCCGCGTTCAGATGACCAAAAACTAAATTCTTAGGTGTTACATATTAGTATACTCTTACATTGCAGTTTTTGTATTTTTCCTCAGAAATAAGATATTTTCCCGCGGTAAAAAGTATCCTAGGATCGCGCGCTACATCGCCCGGTTTATATAGCTTGAGCAGGCGGTCGAGCGATGCGGGGCAGAGGGGATGGACTCGCCGTAGGCATCTCAATGCTCGCCAAGCATTAAAAATGTTTCGCTACTAATTACTTCTAACAACGATATCTCAAAAACTATTCATCTGATTGATTTAGTGTAAAGAGCAATTTTAATCTACATTAAATGACTAAGCTAACTAAAATATTCATTTGGATAAGGATTAATACCGAACTAAAGAAAATAACTTTGAAAATAACGTAATGTTTTTAATTAAAAATGTTAACATAAAAGTGGTTATTGTAAGTCAACCGTAAGAGATAGAGATATGCTATCGCGGACTTTTTTGTAGCATTTTTATAGATTTTGAATTCTCTAGTACATTACTTAACTGTATCTTTGCTAGTTTACGCGGCGTTCGCGTGGAAAGTTCCCATTTGGCGAGATTTTTTGCGACCTCTTCAACATTTGTCGCCGTATTTCAGCTAATTTACATAAAAGCATAATAAATTATATACCTAAACCTTCCTCAAGAATTACTCTTTCTATTGTTGAAAACCGTATAAAAATCCGTTCAGTAGTTTTCGAGTTTATCGCGTACAGACAGACAGGAGGACAGACAGGAGGACAGAAAGACGCGGCCGGGGGACTTATTTTTATAATAAGTATAGATTAATTAGAGACTCAAAATATATTGTCCTGACCAACTGACTTACGTTTCATTGTAAACAAGCGCTGACTTGTTTATAATGATAATGTGTCAATATTAAATTTAATACCAAAAGTAAAAATTTTACTTAATGTAGAAACTTTTCTTCATCATGTCCACATGTGATATGTCCTAACAAATAGATAAGAATAAAGTTATAAATCAGCATGAGTAATATAGATACTATATATAAATAGACAGTCGAACATACAGATATGACGAAATTCTAAGTTTCGTTTCCATCCTTTGACTAGGGAATACGTAAAATTATAAGGAAAAAATCAAAATATGTTAATTTTTTTGTTTCATTTAATATCACGTAGCCACGGGTAATCTTTATTGTATTTTTTTGCAATAAAAAGTAGACACAAAAAATCACGCCAATGCATCACTCCGTTTCGACGTGAAAGAAGGACAAATAAACAAACAAACACACGTTCACGTTTATAATATTAGTATGGATTTGCTTGTAACCAGTTACAAGTAGTTTCGTAGCATATTAAACACTTGCAGAAAGTTACTTAGGGAAGCGAACGAGCTGGTCACTTCTTACTCATAAAGTTGGTACTTAAGTACACTCTTCCTTTTATCACTGTCTTTTATAGTGTTGAATTAACATTCTTACCTAACTAACTCTAGCTTAATTACAGGAAGTTTTATTTTATGTTCTAGTTAGAAAAGTCGAGTGCCCGACGCGTACATCTCCGAGAACTAACCCTAAAGTCCAGAGGATCATATCGATGCGAAGTTTCCGAAGAAGCGCCTTCATTCCACTCCGCGCAATCCGAAACATTTATGGAAATTTATTGTAAGTATTTATTAAGTAAATAAAATCTTATAAAAGTATTTACCTTAAATAACAATATGTTAAGTATAAAGTAGAAGCTTAAATATTTTTATACGACTTGTTATTTATATAAAAGATATTTAGATTATTACTTTTATTTATAGAATAATGTAAATAGAAATATAATTTTATGTTGAATGAGTAAATAATATTTTTTTTTTTTGTAAACTTTAGCTATACCTATATTACCGATATTAGAATAATAATTATTAGTTATCTGTCTATACCTAGTTAAAAAATCAAGATTAAAATCAAGAGAATTCAAGATTTCTTAAACGTAAACTCGATTAAAACTAACTCAATTTTTCTTATTCCTTATTTTTCTTAGACATTTATAATCACGTCATTGTGTATAATGTGTAGCACTATTTTTACAGTAGAGAAAGAAAAATATAATTTGCATGGGGTTCCCACTTCCCATCATTTTCTTTTATGATTGGTGGTTATATCTTATGTATCGTATAATATTCCCTAATAAATTAAACATTGCAGTTTAATATATAGCGCCCCGATTCTGTAAGTTCAGAACCATAAAATGGTAGTTAAAAAAGCCATAACACGTAAAATGTTCAATACACCTCTGTTATAATATATACTTTCAGATTTCCCTCGTGAGAGCCCACATATAGTCGGTCACGAGCGAACGTACAAGCTTCTAGAACCACTCGATGTTAACTGCTCCTCCGCGAAAGCGTTTCCCGCACCGGATTTACAATGGCACATAAATGGGGAAAAGGTTTGTTAAAACTTCTATACTGTTATAAAACTAAATCGAAGTCAATACATTGAAGATAATTTCATTAAAACTTGTCAGGTTTCTCTAAGAAATGAAACAAAGCAAGAATTTCTAACTATTTTCTTGGTGGTTTATTTAACTTATATACCGTACCGTTTATCTTATATAATATTAAATGAAGTATTCTTGTATAGATATGAATTTATTTCGTGTATCTCGGTAACGACTTTACCGATTTGGATCAAATTTTGTATTATAATATATGTATTTATGTAATATCTACCTCATATAGGTGTATTTTCTGAAAAAACGCAATGTTTGTATCTTTTCCGAAAAACGCCAAACTAACTAATCCAAGTTACTTTAACTTATACCACATATAGGTAGTTATTATAGACACGTTTTACATAAAATATGGATAGACTTCCAAATACCTCCGATTAATCTACCTAATTCAGGCTCTCCTTCCGGAAACTGTTTCTTCTATATAGTTACGCCTAGTAAGCGCTAGATAGTGCTAACTGAAGCTCACAGCGCCGCCAAGTAAACAATCATTTTATTTTATAAAAATATTTATGTAAAAAATATAGTCAATTGCAAAAATTAAATAAATTTCGTCGATCTTATGAAATCAGGATACGGAAACCTCACAAACTGCAAACAATTAATGAGCAGCGCAAAGTCCACAAATCCACTAATTATTTTATTTTGTCTAACTTACCTAAATATTTTTTTAAATTACAATGAATATGTTTCAGAGTCTGCCTATATTTTTCTGTTTTTAATTATCGGTACATATTATATGAAAAATAAATCGATACATATAACGCTATCTATAAAGATATAATTCAATTAATTTTCCTTTGTTCCTGACGAGACTTCATAAATAAAAACTACCTATGTAATTTACACGTACGTCCGTAAGTGTCTTTTCGTTTAAGTATTGCACGCAGATAAAGCAAATCAACGGCCAGTTTATTTTTCGGCTTCAATATAATTTATTATAATTTCAGACTATAAGTATTAAACACATTTTAAACGCAATAAAAAGTCTATATCACTCATCAGTAATCGTTGCCTATAAGTGCTTATTTGTCAAGTCAACGGTTTGAATACTTGTTGTATATGTACATTACAGTAGTTTTAAAAAAAATGTAAAATAAAAAAATATACTGAAGATAAAATACAGTTTTTCGACTTTTTTAAAATGAAATATTTATTGTACACATACCAATAGAATTAATATTTAAAAGTAGATAATTTTGTATTTGTTATATTAGAGAAAAAATATCAGAATCGGATCATTAGGTTCAAAGATCACCCCGTACATCCAAACTCACAAACTAAATTTATCTATAATAATATTTAGATATATTATTATAATGTTATATCCCCACAGGTTACAGAACCCACATGGTTAATACCATTCGAACCTACACCCACTATAAACGGCCTTATGATATCCACTCTCGGTTTAAGAGCACCGACAACAAGACATATGAAGATCCGATGCATAGCCATCATCGGCACTCATAGACGAGAGCAAACTGTTATAATAGGTAAAATAATATTTTTCAACTGTATTTCATGTACCTATGTGTATTTAAAAACATACTATGTTGACCGTTTCCTCTAATGTTACCTATTTTTTACAAGCTTTTATTTAACTTGCAATGTTTGTATGTTTGTTCGGTACAAATATTGCAACTACAATTTTAAAGCATATTGCCTAAACAGATTGAGCTAAAATTTTCGACACACGCTTAATTTGGATGGCAAAATATGACAATGCATGCTTAGCTAAGTGACGTCATTCTTAATCCAATGTGGCCAACGCCCAACTCCCAAAGATTGGCGAATTATGTTTTTATTATGCACTCCCACGATATACATATACAAAAATAAATTAACAGTAAAAAAAAAACATTTTTAAAAACAAGCTTTTATTAAAATGCTCCAAAAAGAAGAAAATAAACTTTAAATTAAATCAAACCCATCAATTTATTACATTACACAATTTATCTATACGTATAATAAAATTGTAACTAAGCCGAATCTGGACATTAAATAAGTATTTTTTTAGAAAATCTTAATGAAATAAACATTATTATCGATACAGAGGCCGAATCTATAGTTTTTAGAATTTTTGTCTGTTTGTCTGTCTGTTACCGCATCACTGATATGGTGATAGCTGGTTATCCGGGTTAACTTATAGGATACTTTTTACTGCGAGAAAATGTCTCATTTCTGATAAAAAAAATACAAAAACTGCAATGTAAGGGTATACTAATATGTAAAACAAGAATTTGGTTTTTGGCGGAGCCGCGGGCAATGCTAGTATGATATGAAAGCTTGTGAAGAATTCATTCCACAAGTTTTAATAAATATATTTTTTTCAGAAACAAGATCCACCAGTTGGAGGATAGCAGCAAATTTCAACTTTATAATGTTATTTAGCTGTATAAATAAGGCATTACAGATATTGTCGTGATAAAATCAATATGCTAGGTATAAAGTATTGTAAATAAATAACTCTCTCTAATTATGACGTGTTTTATTCACTAAGAGGTTGATTTTTCAATAAATTTTATACATCGACTAAATTATAGAATAAATAAAAGCATTGATCTCTTTCAATTTCGAACTGCAATTTTCGTCTATGTTATATTTTATGCTGTGAATAACTTGTGATGAATGAAATATCAGCTCTATATATTTAATATATTTAAATTTCATACCTAATCCCGAATGCAACTTGAATACATGCATGAATAAAAGATGAAATAAAAATAATGTTGTATACATTCAGTTTTATTTAATCTTAAGTATTAATAAAAAATGAAGACAAATATCATATTAAATATATAAACATATTTAGAAGAAAATAAAAAAAAATTGAAATCTAAAATGGTATTACAATTAACAACAATGGTATAGGTTATAATAAGTATGAAACCTGCTTTTACATTATGGCAATTTTTAAAGCGAACATTTTTTTACGTGTATTCAATTTTAATTTAGAACATTAAACAGTTGTACACTTTAATGATACTTTAATAAATAATCTCAAGACCCTGTGAACTTCAACTATCTGAAACAATCATTTAAATGTCTTATGAATGTTACTATTATTTTAAAATATGAACAATGAATGACATGAATTACATTTGGAAAAGCTTTTCAAAATTTATTTATCTAATTATTGAATGTCATAACATTAATATATTTCAAATCTTCAAGTTTTAGATTTATTCTAATTTTGGACTTAAACTTCAATTGTTAGTACATACACATGATATTCTCAACATAGTGCTTATCATTTTATATAAATGTGAAAAGCAAGTAACCAATTGTTACGCAAGTATTTATTTCATAAAAGAAAAATTACAATATAATAAGCTCTCACAAAAATATAGGCACTGTGCTTCTATAATCTGCTTAATGTTCTAAATAAAATTAACCTTCTTGACCAAAATCTTCCATGAATTTTTTCAATTTAATCATATCATCATCATTTACAGTAGGTTTCGAAGTTGCTAGTGATCTCAGCATATCAGACATTGTCACTGGTGGTTCACCAAGTTTATCACTCGGTACTTCCATCCAGGTCATCTCTATAGCTCCTGGCTCACCAGGAGAACAGGGAGTCAAAAGATCATGAACGATTACATCAGGATCGGTAGGACTCGGGCCAGAAACCTTTTTGAAATGAGTAGCAGATTGGACTTTACGCACAGGCTGCATTAATGCATCACGAACAACAATGCTTATATCAGCTCCTGAATACCCTTCACTTTTTGTGGCCAATACCTTCATATCTTGTTCACTCAATTGGTGCCTAGTATTTCCGAGATGCAATTTAAACATGTCCAACCTAGCATGTTCTTCTGGCAAAGCAATGTAAATACGTTTCTCAAAACGTCGTCGTATAGCGGCGTCCAGTACCCATGGAATATTGGTAGCGCCAAGAACTAATATGCCATCCATGTCATTGCCAACACCTTGCATTTGAACAAGAAATTCTGTCTTAATTCGTCTGGCAGATTCAGATTCATTATCTGAACGTGAAGAACATAAAGAATCAATTTCATCAATGAAAATAATACTTGGTTTATGCTGTCGAGCCAATTCAAACAAATTCTTCACAAGTTTTTCAGATTCACCAAGCCATTTAGATACTAGATCAGATGAAGAAACAGAGAAGAATGTTGAATTGTTGGCTTCTGTTGCTACAGCTTTAGCTAAGTATGACTTACCAGTACCAGGGGGACCAAATAAAAGAATTCCCTTCCAAGGAATTCGTTTTCCTGTAAATAAATGTGGAAATTTAATAGGAAGAATTACAGCCTCTTTCAAGGCTTCTTTAGCAGCTTCAAGCCCAGCAACATCACTCCATTTAACATGTGGTTTTTCAACAATAATAGCCCCTTCAAGTTTTCCCTGCAATTTTTTTTTCTCAGGATCATCAGAATCGCTGTCACTGTCACTCTTCTTATCTTCATTTTTAGAGTTAGATTCTCCAGCCTTAATAGGCTTTTTCTTGCGATCTTTTTTGAGATATTCTTTAAGTTTCTCAGCTCTGTCTAAATACTGTAAACATTTAGCTCTAATACTCTCTTTAGCCCTTTCCCCTTGAGCTTCATATTTAACTGCATGCAAAAAATACTCTACTCCATGTTCATAAAGCCTTAATGCTTCTTCATAATTCTTGTTTTTATCTTCTTCAGTAGCTTTTGTGACAAGATCAATAGCCTTTTGTAAGGTGTTAGATGAAGCCATTTTGATGCCTTAAACCTAAAACATGATAAATTTAATTTTTTAGTCAAAAATTAAATAAAGTATAACTTGTACGTTACTGTAAGATTAAAAGTAAAAAAAAAACACTAATCAAATAAATTTGTAAACCCATAAATTACTAATAATTTTCATTTAATTAAAGGATTAAATAGATATGTATGCATATAAATCGATAATATATTAACATATTACAATATAAGCTATGAGCATACAAGATTTTATAATTTTTCCTCTGTGATAAAATGTAATTCCATAGTATGACAAATCGACACCCTAAGTGATGCTGATGCTATTGAAGCCTATAAATAAGTAAAGCAGTTATTTGATTTTAAGAACATGTAATTTACTTACCATTCAGGCAAGCAGAAGAACTTTAGAATTAGGTACGTAGTCAATAATCAGTTTCTAAATTACAATTTTGCAGAATTATCGTTTCAGTTTATTCATTTAGTGTTTTTATAAAAACCAATTATGACAACATCACAAATGTTGCCTGTAAGTTGTAACTAAAAAAATGTTGCTATAGTAAAAATATATAAATATAAGTAACATATAAGTTGCTATAGTAAAAATAGGCAATGGTAGCCCAGTGGTAACGCGCTTACTTGGGAAACCGAGTGAAGCGGGTTCAAATCCCGGGTCTCGCACCTCTGATATTTTCATGTGCGAATCATTTCTAACATGATTACCTCTTGCCTTACGGTGAAGGAAAAACATCGTGAGGAAACCTGCATGTCTGAGAGAACAAAGTTTTCGAAAGACATGTGAAGTCCGCCAACTCGCACTTGGCCAGCGTGGTGGGCTATGGCCTGATCACCCTCGTATTTAAGGGAGGCCCGTGCCCAGCAGTGGGACGTTAATAAGGGCTGAATACAATACTAAAAATCTTAAGTAAATAATGTAATAATATACTAATAATTTAAAAATAACATTAAATATAATAGAGTTTAAAGTATGAAATTGCCGTTTTATTGTAATAGATACTTTGAGTTCCGTACGTATGTAGTTCTTCTTTTAAAAAATGTGCAACATTCGATTATCGACTTTCAGTAAACAGATTTAGCTATTCATTTTTATTTTTATAGGCTTAAATAATCTATCCTTCAAATTATAATAAGAAATAAATAATAATTAAACGTATGCATTAAAATCTATACATTAATTATATCTATAAAACACCTATGGGATGAATTTTATTGTGTGTACCAACTTTTTTTTCAAATACCAGCTTTTAGCGACATCTGCCACTATCTAACTTCCCGAACCCTGTTTCATTGGTTTTTTATTCAATGTAGCAATATACTCTATGTTCAATGTTCAGCTTAGACAAGAAAGATGGATGCCTCGAAAATTCGAGTGATTTTTGAATACCTACGAGTTCCGACGCGGAACTAACGCGGCAGAAACAGCTCGCAATATCAATGTTGCGTTTGGAGAGGGGACTGTTAATCAACGCACCGTGCGATTTTGGTTTAAACGTTTTTGGTACAAAACGGCAATTTCATACTTTAACCCCTATTATTAAATAAAAACAGTAAGATAATACTTTGTGGTTTTTGTATAGAGTCAGATCAAAACTTTTATTATAGTTAACATGCCTTACGGATAATTTTGATTTCATACTATTTCACAAAAATAAACTTGAGTTTGAGTAAAACCAATAAGACATAATTTAAATATATGGCAGTGGTAGCCTAGTGGTAGCGCGCTCGCTTGGGAAACCGAGTGAAGCGGGTTCAAATCCCGGGTCTCGCACCTCTGATATTTTCATGTGCGAATCATTTTCTAACATGATTACCTCTTGCCTTACGGTGAAGGAAAAACATCGTGAGAAAACCTGCATGTCTGAGAGAACTTAGCAAGTTTTCGAAAGACATGTATAGTCCGCCAACCCGCACTTGGCCAGCGTGGTGGACTATGGCCTGATCCCCCTCGTATTCAAGGGAGGCCTGTGGCCAGCAGTGGTACGTTAAAAAGGGCTGAATACAACAATAAGACATAAATATCTTGTATTTTTAAAAAAAACTCCTTTTTGGGAATTATCTTATTGTGTAAAAAAAATTAAATTAAATTAAAAACAAAGTGACAAACATGAATAGCATTTCTTTATTGTTTGAGGTGATAAACCTTTAAAAAAAGTATTCGCTATAGATATAGAATTTTGCATAGCTTTGTTTTAACTTCTTATATGCACAATTCACAAGTCTCATAGAGACACTATCACTATAGGAAATTATATAATATAATGTCGCGTGACGTGTCTATGTGATACAACGACCACTCAATCCAAGAGTGGTCACTGGTCGTTGATGTGATATGTCACAACTCACAAGCAAAGAGATGTCTACAAACGTAGCATCTCTCTATAGTGCTACAAACTGTAAATGCTATGGAGGTCAACAACACAACAAGCACAAGCTATCAGTTTTTTGTTTTTCATCCATATTCTAGTATATACAATATACTCTTAAAAATTTAGTCATAAATAGTATTTCATAATATGATCAACTGATAATTGACTGATACTTAGTATTTGTTCTGTTAGTAGGTATTCAGTAAACAATAGATGTTAATGATGATGAATAAGCATGAGTGTAAAATGCTTAATTTTGATAAATGTAAAAATTCTATTATTATAGTAAATAGTCACATGTAATATTTATGCATACAAATAAATATTTTACACGCATTATATTCCAAGGCTAGAAAAATATTAAATCATTAAAGTCAAAGATAAAAAGTTAAAATATCCTTTGATACAGCCATCTAAAGCCGTCATACGGCTCATAGAACCCATATATTTTATGTTGTCTATCTGCCCATGCATCAACATTTTAGTTTTACTATTGGAAGTAGATACATAATTGCTGAAATTTGGTGTTTCAATTGTTGGACAATCCTATTGTAATACTACAAAAATACATTAAAAAATAAGGGTTGCATTACATGTTACTAAGGTAATAAATAAAAGAAACAATATAGAAATGTAATTATTATCCAGTGTCCAATGTATCTGTACATTACTACACTTAAAACTAAATAAAACAAATATTATAGTATATGACATAGATATACATTGCAATAGTAAATTTTTTTTTTACATAATGATAGCCTAAGCTAAAATTATAAATGCAAAAAGCACCCGTAGCACTAATAAATTATAGGATTAGAATGTTAGCTGTTTAATGTTTCTTTATATAATTTGAATTTTCCAACATATTTTTTAACTTGTTCCTTAGGATAAGGTTTCAAAGCTAAACAGGTTGGGATATTTTCAGGTTGTTCTATCCATAATTTATGATCTATAGCATTTTCTTGTAGCTTCTGGGCAATTTTTTTCAATGATTCTTCATTTGGTACCTAAATCAGAAAGAAGGTTATGTTTTTTATAAAAACATAGTAGTGTTTTATAATATCTATTGTAAATACTTTTATTTAAAAATATAATAGAAATTAAATTAAAAATAAGTTAGCATTCATATAATGTAGTGCATTAATCTTTATAGCAAGCATATTTCACTGTTTCTACTTACTTCTAAAACAACTTTATGCATACTGTCCAAATCATTTAAATATTGAATTGTGTGCTCATCATCTCTAAAAATGTGTAATGCTGCTGTTGAAGCATGGCAGGCTTGTGCAACTAAAGAACCGATAGACCATCCCAATTCTTTAAGTAAATCACTCCTCAAAAGGACATATTGAACTATAGAGTTCGACATTTTATTATTTGAATATGCAACCGTACATGAGTAACTGTTAATGTACAGTAAGTAATAAGTATTACATAATATTAAAATTTAAAGATTTCTTTTATGTTTCTAACCAATTTTTACTCCATTTTCTTAAACATTATTATTATTTGTTAATTAACCATGAAATTAAAAATGTCAATGTCACTACGTAGTACGATTAAAGTTTACTATCAAGTGACTTTGACAGCGTCACTACTTTATTTCACTTTCGCGAGTATCTAGTATGGCTAGTACCTATGTAAAATTTAATATACTTGTCGATGAACAAAAAGTCTCCGAACAAATGTATACTCTGTATAAGTGTAAAACGCGTTCAAAGTGGATCGGGCGGACGCGACCACCCGTGATTCTCTGGTAGTTTCAAGATCTAGGCTACGATAAAGTGAATAAGTGTGTCAATTTATTCAACGTTATTTCTTACATTTTATTAACGAAAATTGTTTCTTTTTTAATTTGAGCGATAAATCTTAACATATAAAAATAATTAGCGATATTTAATGAAAGTTTTATTATGTCACTAGCAGCTTTTTTTAACGATGTTTAATTTTCTTTAATGGCAATACTAAGTTATGTCTATGGTGTAGGTATACCATAAATGTGTAGTATCTCTATAGTTTGCTGTGACCATAAAGCATGGATGACAAATAAAACCATAAAGGATACCTGCATTTGACAATTTACTCTTTAGTCTTTGATTTGACAATTGCGATGGACATTTGAGTTTCGACACTGACTTTTGTGTATATAAAAATTAAGTTTGTGCCGCCGAACTCTGAATTAACCAAAAAAAGATTGACTTTCGTACTTTTTATCAAGATTAATTTACTATGGCGTCTGGTTTAGAAAACTATATAAATCAAACGGTGTCAGTGATAACATCAGATGGTCGAAATTTTATTGGTACGTTGAAAGGATTTGATCAAACCATAAACATTATATTAGATGAATCCCATGAAAGGGTATTCTCTTCATCAACGGGAGTTGCACAGGTTGTTCTTGGCCTTCATATAATTCGAGGTGATAATATAGCCATCGTCGGCCAAATAGATGAGTCTATTGACAGCAGATTAGACCTTGGTAATATAAGAGCTGAACCATTAGGACCTATTGTACACTGACTAGTTTAATTTTAGAAATAAAATGTTTTTTACCACTTGTTATAATTTTAATTTCAAATGACCTTATTACTTTTTCTTAAAATAATGTGAAGGTATAATCATTAAAAATATTAATGTGTATTAACTGTATTATTACTTTATTATTATTACTATATAAAAAAGCAAATAAAACAAGTTTGGAATATGTACAGTATATATTTACATAGTTTCTTAATACAGGAGTGTATGTACACTAATACTAAAATTTATATTCACAAACTTAATTTATTTTTATCACAATTGGAATATCCAATAAATTATTTTGAAATAGTACATTTTAGTAAATGTAATAAAAATAAGGAACCCTAAGGACATTAGCTAAACTAACATGAATAATATAACGAGTTGAAGAACTATAAACTGTCAATACATAAAAATTAGAGATAACAAATAAATGAAACAAAATTGCACATCTATCTAGATTGTCAATCTTAAAAAATATTTTATATAATTTGATATGAATATTTTTAACAACTAGTTACATGAACTGTTATTGTTTTGTAATATAAAATTGTTCTAAGATTTTGTTTTTAGTGCAACATAACAATTATTATAGATGCAAATTTAAGGCAAAAAAAACATATGCCCATAATATTCCTATTACCCATAAGTCATTCACTATTCTAATATTTAGAATATCATTTGAAAAGAATTATTGAAGTTAACAAGTTTATTTTAGTCAATATTTCATATTACATAGAAGTATAATCACTATTACTTGTCTGTCCCAAAAGTACTATATCTTGATGCCTGTAACAAATTTCAAGCACATTAACACAAAGGTAATATTTAAATGTGCAAGGTAATATGATTTGTAATGGGTCCATGCATTAGTTTACTTTTTAATAAAATAAATACAAATTTGTACAAAAATTGGAAACAGAAAAAAAATTGTAAATTTATTTCCATTATCTTTTTCTATTGATAGAGAATTTTGTAATAAAAATATTTTTTATGAAAACAATAAACAAAAGGGACTAACAAACACACATAACTAAACTATTTAATTTTGAAACAGAAAATATAGTACCTAAACAAAATAGGCAAAATAATTTGAAGATCACTTTTAATCACTTTTTATTATCTTAATATCTATTCCATGTCTGAAATTAAACAAAAAATGTTAAAAGAGCATGCACAAATTTAAACAAAGGAAACTTCAAATGAACACTAAGCATAAAATAATATTAAAAATATATTGATATAAAATACAACTAAAGAACTAGATTAGCATGCAATAAAATGAACACAGGAATGTTGGGCGTTTGTAAAAAATTGTGTTAAAAATTTAGTATTATTTAGTTCTACCAATTTCAATGAATAGAGAATTTCTACATAGATATGCACACATAAACACAAATTAATATAAATTTTATGTGACATTTAGTCAATTAAAATATATTTTCATTTGATATACATGATATCTTGATCTTAACTAATTTATATCAAACCATATTATGTCATAAGTCATAACCAACAACTCACTCTCGCTTCGCTCGGATTAGTCCCTAGTGAAAAACAAAAACAAATCTATCCCACGGGAACCGTACAGTTTTCCGGGATAATAAGTAATCTATGTGCTATTCCACACTATAAACTATTTCTGAGCCAAATTTCAATGAGATCCGTTCACCCGTTTTGGCGTGATTGAGTAACAAACATTTTTCCAAACTTTCGCATTTATAAAACAAAAATAAATTTATTCCACGGGAACCGTATATTTTTCCGTGGGAAAAAATAGTTTATGTAGTCCAATCGGAATCCGGTTTGGGAACAAAATATTGAAAACCCTAAGTTTTATGAAATCCATACTTCCATCCTAATATTATAAATGCGAAAGTATGTTTGTTTCTTTGTCCGTCTTTCACGTCGAAACGGAGCGACGGATTGGCGTGATTTTTGTGTGAAGATAGTTGGAGGGCTGGAGAGTGACATCTAGGCTACATTTTACCGCGGGAGATTTATGATCAGAATTACTTCAAACTTAGTACTTATTATGCGCTTCAATAAAATTAAATACGTGTATTAGCATTTATCGAAATTCATCTTATAAGGGGTAAAGTTGAGTTAAATAGGGGATAAAAATTTGTATGGAACTACCATTTTAAAGTTTTTTTTTTGTAGTTTTAGCGCGAGCGAAGCCGCGGGTTCTGCTAGTATAATATACTGAAAAAAAAATTTTATTAAACTCTTTACGTCGATTTTTTTCCTGAGATATTCGACTCTCAATGAAAAAGGATCCTTTTAATTTTTATCATCAATATCTTAGCATCTAATGGGTGTAATCTACTATTAAAGGGTATTTTTAAAAATTTCAGTCATATTTCTACAAGGATTTATCATATTTAAAAAAAACTTTTTTTTGTTTTTACATTTTCATGTTTTTTTACCAAAACTCACAAAATTTTGTAAATATCAACTTAATATTTTAAATTATATTTTTAACTGATGAATAAACAAGATTAGATTATGAATGAATTTCATTTTTTTCTGTAATTATCTTAAAATAAAATTTTTCTGAAAAAATCCATGAAATCACCAAAATCGAATACAAAAGTGTTGGTATACTTTACAGTTTACGTGAATTCCAACTTTTTTTTTCACGTCTCGTCAAATTGCAACGTTGGAATGTTTACGGCGACATTGCATAAATATAAAGCCTCAAATTAAAAATTTGGGGATGGCTTTTTTTCGTTTTTTTCCCGAAAAATACATTGGTGTAATCAGTTTTTAAAAATTTGGCCAATAAAGTGCACTTCTTCAATGATCATTGAAAAAAATGTAGTTTACAAAGTAAAGAGTAAGGGCGTTTTTACAGGACGACAATACAATGTTTTTATTTCTTCAAAAAGTAGAGTTCAAGACAAAAAGAATGAGCCCTATCTGAAAATTGACCGAAATTTTTTTTAAATGTAAAAATCCACTTGAAGTTGGGGGTGATTTTCAGCCTCTCGAGACCATAAAACATACTTTTCTCGGAAATTGCTAAACATTTTAATTTCAATTGTTTTTATTTATTATATGTATTTCGAAGATTACATTCCCTTAGTTTCATAAAAATCTAAAGATTATTCTAGAAATTAAAAATAAAAAACTAAGAAAAAATTTAAAACCGAGTTTTTTGCAAATATCTGGAAAACTTAGAGGTTATTGTAAAGTATTATATCTAAAAGTTGTAGATTTTTACTAGACCTACAACTTTTGTAGTAAACCTTTTTCGATAGAACGTCACAGTAAGCCGGAAAATGAAAAAAAAAACTATTTTTCATAGCTTTGCGTCACCCCATTTCTCGGGGGTAGCTGGGCATCGGGGGCATTTTATGAATTTTTATTCCTTATATTATATCTGCTAACATAAAATCATGAAACATGAGGTTATCAATAAAAAAAACTTTTAAAAAATAAACATATTCCGATTGGTCTAATGTGTAATTCAAGACTATAAATTATCTCTATGCCAAATTTCATCCAGATCTGTTCAGCCGTTCTAGCGTGATTGAGTAACAAAAATCCATATAAACTTTCACATTTATAATATTAGTAAGAAATAAGATTATAATGGGATAATGGAAAAGGATAGACAAAAAATTAAATACTCACAAGTTCTGGCTAATAGATTTTTTTTTCAATATTCTTAATAAATAGTAAGCAAGAATGTTAAAATAAAATAAACAAATCAACACTAATATAATCATGCCAAAAAGCAGATTAAGCAGATCATACATACCTTTGCATTTTCTCCTTATACTTTTGTGTATTGTACTTTTGGAAGAATTGTTTTCCATATTCAAAAGTCGCTATCATAATGGCGCAAGCTGGCGCCACTTTAAATATTCGAGGTAACAAACCAGTAAATAAACCTTTTATGCCATGATTTTTATAAATTGTTTTTGCTATAGCTTTCATATTCGATGCTCTTTGGTGTACTTTCCCATCTAAATAACAATATATAATTGCATTATACACTAGGTACCTATACTTCATACTTACTATGATATTATTAAAGCATTTTGTGGATTTTTAGATTTTTCACAGCAACGAAATAAAAAACCAATCAAGTGCGAGCGGGACTTGCACAAGAACGGTTCCGTGCTATCGTACAAGATTAAACACCGTGTTCTAGTCAATTTTTTTAATTTTCATGGCAGTCATTCGCCTTTACTTTGAAATTCGCCATCTTGGTTTTTATTATTTGTTGTTATAGTGGCAATAGAAATACACGCACTGTGAAAATTTAAACTCTCTACCTAAAACGGTTCATGAGAACCTGCTGATGGAAAGATGGACAGACAGCAGCTTAGTAATAGGTCCTGTTGGCACCCTTCGAATACAGAACCCTAAAAATCTATGATAATCAAATTTTTTCTCCTTCAAGTATTACATGAGCTGACTTAAACATAAAAACTATCTTTTTTTTATTTAAATTATTATATTTGTAATACCTGTATAAATTTCTTTTTCCCCCAATTCAATCTGTTGGTGCGTTTTCACAACATCAAATGGCAAAGTAATAAATGCTGCAACCTGTAAAATGTACAGTATTATACTATGGAATATTTTAAAATAATATCCTATAAAATAACCTAGTTGTTTTAGTTGCTTTAAAAATATTATTAGTAAGCTTTATTATTTTTTTAACACTATATAATATTAAGTATATAGTTTTTAACTTACACTGCCTGCAACAGATCCACAGAAAAAGTTGAAAATGAATGAATTCTTTTCAGAATCTGGTTTATTAAATACCCTTTTTGTTGACTCAAACATTGTCCAATATATACCTATAAACATAATTCTGATCAGAGAAGAAATAGCAACATTGTCAGATTTTAAAATTAAATAAAAAGTTCCTTTTTAATAATCTTATTTTACTGACCAATCTCCTTCGTGTCTTCTCCATTCTATGTGACATTGAAGAAGTAATCTGTGTTCAACTGGCACGCTTTAAAGCCATTAACAAGAAAATTGAATTGAATTAAAAACTTCCTTTTAGGGGCCGTTCATAAAATATGTCATGCTAAAATCAGCTTTTTTAGACTCCCTCTCCCCCTATTGTCACGCTGTGTCACACTTTCTGTGACCCATAGCCGATGCAAAGCAAATTTAATATATTTCGATAGGTAAAATACATATTTAGCTATTAGATATTCATATCTTAAAATATTGTCGACTGGCACCGACTTCGAAAATATCTGATTAGGTTCCAATTCTAAATTAAAACCCTCGTTTAGTTATTTTTTACATTTTAGTGCCTGGAAGTCGGTTTTTTATTTAAAGTTTTTATTTTTCCATTTGTAGTGTAGACATAATAAGCAGGTAATTTGTAAGAAGAAAGTTTTTTAATAACATATTCGATTACACAATTTATTTTAAAAATATATTATTTGTTCATTTTTTTTAAAAACCGCTTGACTGATTTCGATAAAATTTATATGGGACCACCTGGAAAGTATACCCTTTGAAACAAAAAAAAATCTAAATCAGCACAGGCGTCTTCGAGTAATAAAAAAAAAAGATTCCGACAAATTGATAACCAAACTCCTTTTTGAAAATCGGTTAAAAATAATGAACCGCGAACGTCACGTTGCCGTAGATCCCCCCCTTGTCACACTCAGCAAGGGCCCCCCTTCCGCCAATCCTGTATGCGAATGTATTTTATGAACTGCCCCTTATCTAGTAATCTCAAACTTAATCATATCATTCTTTAATAATAATTGTTACCATAAATTATCCTATTACTTCCTTAAAAAATAAATGTAACCAATATGATTTTGTTCAATTATAAAAATTCCAGTCACAAACTTACAAAATAATTAATCTATACAAATGGCTTTTGCACCAAGGGTGCGTAACTATGTGAAAATGGTAAAAAATTTTGTATGGTAACAATTAACATGGTAAAAAAAACAAATCTTTTTATTGTCTAAATACATACCTGAAAATGGTACATCTCTCAATAATGTGGATCCTAAGCCTCTGAACAATCCTTTATAGCCTTCATATTTTAATACTTGACGTAATGCTGACCTAATTTCTGAAAAATTTAAACATCTTTCTTAGATACATACCTATATGTATTTGAATTAAAATTGCAATAAATTCATTTACTTGTCATAAACAATTAATCACTTTAACAATAAGCACTAGTTTACCTGAGTAAGTTAGTTTTTTGGATTGCATCTTAGTCCTGATTAATTCTAATGGGCTGAATAATGTAACAGCTGTGATTCTCGCTGAAGCTCCAGCTATCATAGGAACCCACATAGGTTGATTCACTTAAAAGAAGATGATCATCACATAATATACTTTAAAAGTTTTATTCAGGAAGGTTATATCAATAGTCAATAAGGACTTTCACATTTCATTATGAAATATGAGAGTGGAGTTAATAATTCTACAAAATTAAAGGATTCAGGCAGAGCTACAAGAAAATGAGGCTTTTTCAGAGTATATAGCAAGAATAGAAAATAATAACATATATATATATATTATACTATACTTATATATATATATATATATATATATATGACATAATATTGTGTAATACTTTGATAGACTGTAGTCATTATTTATTTAAAAAAAAGACACTTGACAAAGGTCACTAGAGACTACATAATGTGTACATTAGAATAATGTTGATTACTTGAGGTAACAAGGCAATTTAAAACTGCTCCTCCCTATTAATTAATATACTTACTATTGCCAGTCATATTGTTGTAAATAGTTTTCATTCTATACCTAAGTTGTTCATACGAAACAAAGTATATAACAGTGCAGGGGAGAGCTAGAACAAGAGTAGGGCTTAAACCTGACCATAGTGCTGGTACTCCCTCTATTTTTGCTATTTTATAAAAAGCGTCCTGTAACAATGCCAATGATGTTAATAATAATTTTATAGCTAATAAATTACATTGACAATACTAATTAAGTCCATGAACTATTTTTACCTATTTAATTAAATAAAAGGAAACTTACTATAGTTCCGTGAAAGTGAACCCTCCGTGGTATCCATGCAGTTTCACCACAGGGACATAAGTGTTCCATCAAACCATTGCAATATAAGTAACATTTATTTGATAGTAAAGCTTTTTGTTGTGCTTGTAATCTTATTTTCACTACATCTAGGGGTGTCACTATAAAAAGAGTTAAAACATTTGTTAATTTAAATAAATTAGAGTTAAAGAAAAAATAATTCATGACACTTTTAAATTACAAAACACCGGGAAAGCTTACTAAATAGGGAGGTTATTAGTGCACCGGAACATGCCGATGCCATTTGCTGAAAAGGTGTTATTCGGAATTGAGGATCGTCTTCTCGAATCATGGCATTAAATCAGTATTTATAAACTTAACGGGGGAAAATTCACTATCACAAATTATAAAGAATTGCTACGCATTCCACTATCGACGATATTCTCTAAAGTCTAAATCTAATAAACTCAATCATATGTTCTTCAATCTTCTGTTGCTGTCAATTAAACTAAAGAATACGTTCAAGTTATGAAATGGATATAAAAAAATCTTACAGTTATATGACAAAATTACACAATTTTGTTGTTTTAATAAATTAAATAATGCTAATTTATTTCTTTATAACATAATGTAATTTAACGCATTAATTAAATATAATATGAACATATTTAATAATGGGAGAGAATTTTGCCATTATGTCCCGACAGATGTCGCGATCACTATGATCCTCAGTATATTTCACAGCTCAGCTCTATATCGTGGATGTTTTTTTTTCATTTTATATAAAATTTAATTAAAATGAAAAAGTGGCAGTGCCAGGGTGCACAATAAATGGATATCATTAGTTTCCAAAAGACAAATACTGAAGAAATTGTGGACTAAACCAATAAGACGACCAAAATTGGAAACATCACAATATTTATATTTAAGATTACGTGGACATCATTTTAAAACATTTAAATCGTCTAGAAGTGAATATTTTTTATGTATATATTATAATGAAATTATTTAATTGTATTGAAGGGCATTAATACCAACTTTCAAGTAATTCTGATTGTAAATAATTCTTTGCCATATACAGTTTATTTACAAATTTTAATTTAAGATCAAATAACTAATTTGAATATCCAAAAATAAGAACTGTTTTTTATAGTTGTAAGTTTTCGCTTCTGTCGGCAGTCCTCATGACTGCCGACATGCTTTAAAAAAGTTAATGCGAAACACCACTTTCTATGTATTTCACATTAAAAATGACAGTTTCATACAATCTTTAATGCCCTATTTCTATTTTATATTTTACTCACTTAGGGGATGAATTTCAAAAAATCTTTTCTTATCAGATGCCTATATCATATAAGGAATACGTCCTCCAAATTTCACGTTTCTATAACCAGCAGCTTAGGCTGTGTGTTGATCCATCAATTATTCAAGACCACCCCTGGATGCCCCTTTCAAGTTTTCCTTCAGCTGGTCTAACTCTCAGGTACAATACACAGGTAAGGTGCGAAAACAATAGAAACAAAAACCAGGTAAAAAAGAAATACCATCATAAATTATTTAACTTCATAAATGTAAATAGATTATACGTGTAGCGCCCTCCTTTCAAGAAATTTTCCCTATTAGCCGCTCTTTAGTGAAAACGAATTATAGTGTTGGTAGTAAAACGTACTGTATGTACCTTTATGATAAAATAATATCAATTATTTCATAGACTAAATTATTTGTCTATGGTCATATTGGGTTGGCTACATCCACAAGACTCAAACACCCGACGGCCAGTCAAATAAATACAGACTGGATAACTCACGTTTTGTGCTACACATGGAGGACGATAAAATATTATAAAAATAAGTTTTCGTACAGTGAATAGTTTCACGAGGCTAGTTATTTAGTATATGAAAAATATTTTTTGAAATGTTTTCCAGTATTCCCAGGTCGTTGATGTGAGTAGCTTTCCGTTTATTTTTGGAGTTTACATAACGTGACACCTATGTTTTATTCAATTTGTATAGAAATTCTAGGTTGTCCTTGTGAGAGAATAATTTTTAATCATGTTTTTGGATATTGTCTTTCGTTTATGATTAATTTTTCATATTTTGTTCAGAACTTTCATATACAAAAGAGACTATTTTATATGTGCCGAAATCAAATCTCAATTTTAAGAATGAATAATTAGGTAAAATATTGTTAAAGTATGTTTGATAAAATTTGGAAAAATAAATCTTTTAAACGTAACTGCTTTTTCAATAAATTCTATTTAATTTTTATCCATAACTGATTTTGGCACATAACTGAGAATATTTTAATCGTCTGCCCCGGCTATTGATCTCAATATAACACGTTTCTTAGAAAATTGACTCGTACACTTTTTAATATTTTTTTAACATCATAATAATAAAGTGCATCAACAAAAGTGTATAAGAAGCTCTCTTATTTTAGTATATATAAATTAACCCTTTTAAATACTATTAGTAAAATATTCAAACACATTATATAAGAAAAATTATGAACACCTATCATAATTTTACTCAACTCTTAATAATGTCATATGAAAGGGAAAACATAAAAGTACAGTCATAATTCTAGTATTACAAGGATGTAACATTGTTCCATGCATTATTTTTTATTTTAGTATTCATCCAAATCTTAAATATTAGGCAGATGCTATAATGCAAATGTGAGCTGAACCCTGAAGTGACCTACTTTTGGGATGACCCAATTCTAACACCTTGACAATGTCACTGATAATGTAACTTAATAAATTAAGATTACCAGTGTAAATAGAAAACATTCTTATTGCAATGTGTTGTTTTTTACTAAAGTATTTTTTATATGTAGTTAAATAATCTATATTAATTTTCATAATACAGAAAATTAAAATTTCATATGGTGGTTTGTTTTAGACACTTTAAACAATTCTATTGTATATAATATCACTGAATATTGATTCTATTTTATAATTATAAGTTATATAGAAACTTATTAAATAATGTGTATATAATACATATACATAATTGTTTTAAAACAAATAAACTATTAACAGTATTAATAAGTTTGGCTTTATTTAGATTATTTGAAGATCTTATTTAACTCTTATTTAGTCCCATTTTTTGTAGTGTTATAATGTTGCGAAAATATTGTTTAGTGAATCCATACTAATATTATAAATGTGAAAGTGTTTGTTCTTCTTTCACATCGAAATGGAGTGACGTATTGGCGTGATTTCTGTGTGGAGATAGTTGGAGGGCTGGAGGGTGACATAGGCTACTTTTTACTGCGGGAAATTATCTAATTCCCACAAGAGAACATGTTAAAATACAATAAAAAATATATATGATCAGAATTACTTAAGACTAGGTATAATTGTTCTTCAATAAAATTAAACAAATACGTGTTTTAGCATTTTTCGAAATTCATCCTATAAGGGGGTAAAATAGGGCATGAAAGTTTGTATGAAACTCCCTTTTTAGAGATTATTTCTAGTTTTAGCGCGAGCGGTGCCGCGGGTTCTGCTAGTTTACTATAAATACAAAATTAATTTCAACAAATTACTAACATAAAAATATGCATTAAAATTAATACATTATATAATAATTAAAAATGTGTCACTTCAAATAATTCACTTTATTACAATACTTGATTCCTCATACAAACTTTCATCCTCATTTTCATCCCCTTTAGGGATGATTTTCGGGATAAAAAGTATCCTATGTCCCCTTCCCAAGGGCTCAAACTATCTTCTTACCAAATTTCATCTAAATAGGTTCAGTAGATCCAAAGATTACCCCCTACAACGTCACAAACTCACAATTCACAAACTTTACCTCTTTATAATAGGTATTAGGTATAGAATAGATGGAACATGAATTTATAACATGGACAAAGTTGTTTTACATGAATACATCTACCTAGTTACGGAAATATTAATTAATGTACCTAATAATATTGTGTTGATGGCTATTGAGCTACTGTTCTGTTTTGGTAAAAGGTAGAGTAGTTGAATTATATTTTGCGAATGTCAATATTGGTTTAGGGATCGTTATCGACCATGTTGTAAATTAAGAAAAATTTAAGGAGAACGTCAATTTTAGTTATAAAATATCTATTTGTTATGGGTTAATACATTCGCAAATGTAATAAATTAAAGTCTAAAATATATGATAAAACTCATGGTGACGATATATTATGTACGTAAGTTGACATTGAATAAGCCATGTATCGATTACCATTACTAGGCGGAGTCGGTATCAATTTTGCGATCGATTCTGTTTTACCTAAACATCTGATATAATCACGTTGCTATATAAATGCTAATAAACATTTCTGAAATATTTTAAAATGGTAGGTAGGTACTTAAATGAGGAAAATGGTATGTTTTTATTATTTAAACTTTTATTATAGAAAACTCCAATAGAATGATTACGGCTTTCTAACGAAATAATCTCCTGTGTGTGACGGATAGTAACATAGTTTTATTACAAGTTTTGGTTATTGCTTCAATTTCTAATTTTGTTCAATTAAAATGTTCGGAATCTATGGTAGGTCGTTTGGATTTTTGCCAGTTAGTACTATTTCCATATCACATAATAAATGTTAGCTTGGAACTGCGGACATGTGGACAGAAAAAATTGCGAAGTGTGAACAATGCTTTAACTGTACTCTAAATTCTAAAATACGTTTTAGATGACGTAAACGCGAACATTCCGGACTAGCAGCGAACAAAAAAAATCTTTAGTCATCTTATGATATTTATTTAGTATGCTTAGTATATCAATAGTAATTTTCTTTTCAATTTCATCTTAGCGACACACGACGGAAAATGGTATTGTAAAAGCAAGTAGCATCTTGCGCACGATTCTATTGTAACGTTGAATACGATACAATACGTTTTTTGCATATTGTTTCTAACTATATAAAACTATAAAATTTTTGTCTGTCTGTCTGTCTGTCTGTCTGTCTGTCTGTCTGTCTGTCTGTCTGTCTGGGAACGCATCACGAGAAAACCATTGGACAGGTTTTGATGCAATTTGGTATGATGATCAGCTATCATCATTTATCCGGGTCAACATAAAGGATACTTTTTACTGCGGGAAAATATCTCATCTGTGAGAAATCTATACCTACTAATCGTTAAAACGTACATGCGGATTAGACACGAACCCGAGCGGAGCGAAAGCGAGTCGCTAGTAGTATGTAGTAGATAATATAAACGTGTGATTGTTAAAACACATATTTGTCGATAGTTTGAAACAGGCTTTCGTCAATGATGTTATAACAGGCAAGGTCATGTCCAGCTCATCATGGATGTGTTATCCTTTTTACTAATTAATTCATCATTTAAATGATGCGATGAATGAAGAATTTTTATTAATATAAAACATAGTTTTCGCTTTTTATCACCTATTATATATAATACAGGATGATATTATAGCGTGTTCTGAAGATATAAAGTAAACCTATTTCAACGTTTATCAGTGCCGCTTCAATAGTTAAGTGGGTAAAATGCAAACAGCTGTCCAACACATTTACTTATTCGTAGTATAGTGAGCTATTTTGATATCACGGTTCTACGGAAATCAAAATTGCAAAACAAAAATATATATTTTACGTATCAGAACGAAAACAAAGATGTTATTTTTGTTCCAGATGCTGCTCCACGGCTATAGGCCCGAATCGGGCTTTAGCGTTCGCGTTAACGAAATGTCCAGTGTTCTTAGATCAATGTCGAAACTACCACGAGGTTACCGGAAATATTATATGCCCCAACATGGTGCGGGGTATCGATCATCTGAGAGACCCTCGTCTTAACAAGGTAAGAGAAAATTGGGCGCTATAAAATTTTCATTTTACTGCAAATTTACCACTCAATCATCACAGGAATGCAGTGCCATTTGATGATTTGCCAACATTAAATGTTCTTAACATTAATATAGCGCTTGAATAGCAATAAACAATGCTCATTATTCCAGGGTTTGAATATTTTTAAATGGTAACACATACATAAATTACTTTAAAGTTACAACTAAGTGATAGATAATTGATTTTCTAATATTGTTTTTTTTACCTGGAGTTGTTAATATGTGTGTGGTATCAATATTTTGTGTTCTTAAATAAGGATTTTAGACATATTTTTAAAGTTATTAGGTTTTAAGTTTTAACGAATCTATTACATATTATAATCAAGCCGAATCTGTACATTATTTATTGTAAAATCTTATTGAAATAGACATTATTTTTGGTACAGATGCCAAATGTATAGTTTTTAGAATTTTTGTCTGTCTGTTACCGCATCACGGAAAACCCACTGGAGGGATTTTGATGAAATTTAGTATGATAATAGCTGGTTATCTGGGTCAACATGTAGAATACTTTTTACTGGCGGGAAATATCTCATTTCTGAGAAATCTATACTAAATGTTAAAACGTAAGTAGGGACGAACCCGAACGAAGCGAGGGTGAGCCGCTAGTATTATACCTATATATTAGTTATAATTATCAGAATAGTTACATTTGTGAGAACAATTAAATGATCGCTTGCATATTGTATATTAAGCTATTAACTATTGACTAGGTAATTTTTGACGGAGCGTATTACTCATTGTTTGTACGTACCTACTGGGTTTAGCGTAGCGGTCTATTGTGCTTTACAATAACATTGTTTTTAACAGCTTCGTTGGTCTACTCTTTAGTATGTACGGTAGCAGATATCAAGGTCCTGGGTTCGAGTCCCGGGACTCGTACTTCGGGCCAAGTATAGTTATTGAGTTTCTTTCTATGTCATGAAATTCCCAGTAACACCTCGAACTGGGAATTTGAATATGTTTCACCAGGGCTCGGAAACCTATTTAATTTTTCAACCGGTTTTGGTCATTGACCCTATACCGGCTTTTCGATTTAAAGTTTCGGTTACGTTACTTAACCTGTTAAAACCCGGATAACGGTTTTTGGCGAATTTAGGATTCATGATCGAAGTTAACCGGTAAAAATGACTTCTTGTTTACATTTGGCGAATCTTTATAAATGGTGAATTGTTTAACAGATGGATACTTGTACGTTTCTTACTTATGAATAAATTTACCGATTAATTTCGGTATCCAAACATAAATCTAACCTTCTTCTAAGAATAACCATTAACTATTGTTATTTCGGGTTGCTAAATCGTTCGTTTTTATTAACTGGTTAATGAACGAGCGATGAATTAACAATTACATTAACGAAAATAACCGTTTTTCTTAAACCGGTTCTGAGCCCTGTGTTTTACCCCCGTTTGAGTTTGAGAGTAACTCATGAAGAGGAATAAAGAGTGCACTTGTATTTGCGCGCACATATATATGTATACTCACCTTATACTTGTGCACTATAATATCTCCTGTACAGATGGCTAGTCTTATTGAGATGAGATGAGAGAGGCCGGTGATCAGGAGGACATTATATTTTTATTATTAACATTGTTTTAGGGTCTCGCATTTACATTAGAAGAACGTCAAGCGCTTGGCATTCACGGCCTTTTGGCGGCCAAGTTCAAATCTCAAGAAGAGCAACTGGACATTTGCAGGATATCAATAGATAGATACGAGGACAATCTGAACAAATATCTTTACCTCGTCGAGTTACAGGTGACTAACCACCATAAAGGTACCATTGATTTAATGAATTTTCTGTTTATCTTCGGTTCTAAGGTTTCTATATCTATACTAATTTTTGGTTCCATGTTAAATGTTCTAAAACTCAATATGCATGCAATATTATATGTATTTTTTAGTTTGTTTTTGTAGGTACTCTATATTTTGTTACGAAATAATCACAAAAATCAAAACTGATCGTCCAAATAAAGTAGATAACATAGAATTAAAGGTAAAATTCTAAGTACTTAACTGCTAAATTGCTTTACAAAGAACATATTACGACCGTGGAGATTTGTTTCATTTTTTAGTCGTCAAAATTGGTTAATATAAGTTACTTCTAAGATTTTCTTGCGAGTGTTTTATAGTTAGTGCATAGTCGTCGTGTGCGTTTTAAACGGCAATGGGCGACCCTCCATCCGCTTTTAAACATCTGCACTATATATTTTTAAATAAGCAAGGTTCCTATTAGTAGGTTTGTTTATTTTGGCGCTACTACAATTGCCGTTTTTTTTTTTGTGAGATCTTCAGATCGTCATAGGTATATTAGACTTTTTTCTTTTGCCTGTAAACTTATAGATATTTTCGTATTTCCATCCAAATCTGCCCTTATTTATTTTTTATCAATGAGTTTTTTTATAGTATCATCGATATATTATAGTGCTAAATTATTCGTTATAATGTTAGTAATACTTATAGTAAAAGATGTGTTTGCATTTCTTTGATTGGTGGCATTGACTAATTTTTTTAACGAACTTGTAACCTACGGCAAATTATTATGAAGAAAATTTAGACATCATCATCTCCCTGCCCATTTCCCAATCACTTGAGGTCGGCGCAGTACATGTTCCGTATTGCTGATAGTATTTGGCAAAAGTTTTATAACCGGCCACCTGCCTGACATCAACCCTCTTTGGGAATGCTATTATTTATCGCGGAAGTCTTGTAATATACATGTACCAAATTGTGTTCTTTTTTCTTTTATAACATTTTTATAGTATTACTCAAAATTTAAATGTAATTTCCGATATATTTTAAAAAAAAAATTTCAATTGAATTCTTTTATTTCGTGGCTTCTAGTCAAAATACATTTTGAACACACAATAAATTTTGTTTTGACGTTGTCAATTTCTTTCTAAAAAAAAATGAAAATTTAGACAATATTAGGTAAGTATACCTCCTGTAGTTTAATATGGCGTCTACCAATTTTTACTACACATATCTACTGTGACGATATTCGCATGTCGATTTGTGGTCACTGAGTCAAAAAATAATACATAATAACAAAGTACACCGACTTCACTTTGAAAATAAATATTTCCTAAAGGAATGGAATTCTTTCTTGAAATGTAATTAATCAATTCATTAAAAAAGCGTAAATTGGTTTGCAACTTGCGAAGTTATCGCGTAACATTCACAAAAAATATGCTAAAACCGTATGTAGTCATATGTTCCCGTTGATATTAAGACAATTTCTTTTATCTTGCTTTTCCACCTAACCTTATGCTTTGCAGATACTTGAATTTATTTATAGCCTTGTTTTCTTGCAGGATAGAAATGAGAAATTGTTCTTCAGACTCCTATCGGAGAATGTTGAGAAGTATTTGCCAATTGTATACACACCCACTGTTGGACTTGCGTGCCAAAGATTTGGTCTCATTTACAGAAGACCTAGAGGTCTTTTCATAACTATCAATGATAAGGGGCATATATTTAACATCCTTAAGAACTGGTAAGTATATTTTATATTTAACTATATTTTTTTAAAGACGTTCGTTAATTATTTGGAATACTGGTTTATTGATAAATTATTTATTTGTTTAAATTGTTTTGTGAATATTCTATTCTGTTATCAATTTTTACTGACTTGTATTGTTCTACTTTTTTGAAAGTCAGTATTTTCACGTTATCATAAGAAATTAACATATATTGACTAACAACTCAATGTGAAAGTTTGTGAGTATGTATGGATGTTTGTTACTCTAACACGCCAGAACGGCTGAACGGATCTGGGAATGTATCCCGGAAAAATATACGGTTCGCGAGGGATAGATTTGTTTTTCATTAGTCAGAAATAGTTTTATTATGTCAATATATTTTTATTATGTCAATCTCAATTATTAAATTAATGAAACATGATTCATTAATATTTAATAATTGAAATTGCGGTAGTAAAATGAATCACAATATGACGCTATGCTATATGAATGAGTAACAATAATGCTTCAAACGAGAGGATTTTTGTAAATTATTTATTTATAACACGTTTGCTTGATATATGTAATAATTTTGACCGAATACAATTAAAAAAAAAGATTGTGTACGTGGTGTCTTTATTAATACTGAACTAATTTCCATCGTACTTTTTTAATAAATATTTAGCCTCACATTTAGAGTATATATCTATTATATATATATACCACTTAGGTCACAATAATTAATTTTTTAAGGCGATTTCCAGGTAATATATGATGTAGTAATTAATTATTATTATAAGTTTACAGTTAATTTATCACTTTTAGGCCGGAACCAGATGTACGAGCGGTAGTGTTCACAGACGGTGAACGTATCCTAGGTTTAGGTGATTTAGGTGCATATGGTATGGGTATACCTGTCGGTAAACTGTCCTTGTACACCGCCCTAGCAGGCATCAAACCTCATCAATGTCTGCCTATCACGTTGGATGTTGGTACTGATAACCAGGTATGTAACGTTTTAGTTCAAATTTTAGTATTCCAAATAATAATAAAAGTTATTTCTTGAACTAGTGACTTACACTCGCTTCGCTCAGGTAAGTGGATTTTAGAATTTTTTGGGTTTGCGCGGAATCCTGATGACTGCTTTTTTTTACATATAGGTACTTAATTTTGACCGTTTGTCCATCTTGTTAAGAAATTAGGGGTTCACACGAGAAGTTTTATGGTATGCATATCAAACCAAGTTTTTTAGTGTTAATATTTAGTGTAGACCAAAACTATAATGTTATATATTTCAGTGCATCCTTCCGAGTATAGGCCGAGATGCAATCTCTTATTAGTTACTCTTATTTATATTTTATTACCAACGACTTGCCCTCGCTTCGCTTTATATATAACTAAAACTATTGCAGTTTGATTATCCAACCGTGGTTGTGTGCCAAAATTTATTTAATCTCTCACACTACGTACGCGACGTTTTCAAAACAAAAATAAGCGAGTTTATTCAACCCGCGTTTGGAAATAACTTTGTATTGAAACAACTTACATTTCTCACAAAGAAAATGCTGTGGAAATGATATAAAATATGTCTACGTCAGAAAGTTTATTTTATCTTATAAATTGTTTATTTTGTGAACGTTTCACTTGAGGTAATGATATCGTGTGAAGTTACCTTTTGTAAAAGCTTTTAATGTGAAAGCTTTTGTGGTGCTAACTTTTATAGCGATGTTACTATATGGCCAATTCGCAATGTAACATATTAACGTACTTATTCTATACTAGCGACTCACCCTCGCTCCGCCGGGGTTCGTCCCTAGTTGTGTTTTAACTTTTAGTATAGATTTCTCAGAGATGCGATATTTTACCGCAGTAAAAAGTATCCTATATGTGTGACCCGGATAACCAGCTATCATCGTATCAAATTTCATCAAAATCTGTCCAGTGGTTTTCCCGTGATGCAGTCACAGACAGACAGACGGACAAAAATTGTAAAAACTATAGATTTGGCCTCTGTATCCATAATAATGTCTATTTCAATAAGATTTTCCAAAAAATATTTAATTTACAGATTCTAATCAGAATTTTATTATATGTAGTATAGATTAAAAATGACTATTCGCGTTCACTTTAATTAGTTGAAAAGATTAAAAACTTATTTAGGTAATCAAAATTTAATTATGATAATGGTTCAAAGCAATCCCCAGATGATTGAATGTGGATATTTCTAGAACTGTTCAATTCATCGTTACATTGTTGCTTAGGCACTTTGTTTGGACGTAGATTGGATCGGATTCAAATTTTCTGTTGTCTGTGGTCAGTGCCATATTATGTAAATAATATTAAAAATGTATGTATAAAAATAGTTTACTATATTTAGAAAATACTAGCATTGCCTGCGGCTCCGCTCGCGTTCAGATGACCAAAAACCAAATTTTTAGGTTTTACATATTAGTGTACTCTTATATTGCTATTTTTGTATTTTTCCTCATAAATGAGATATTTTCCCGCAATAAAAAGTATCCTTTATGTTGATCCGGATAACCAGCTATCATTATACCAAATTTCATCAAAATCCCTCCAGTGGTTTTTCTGTGATGCGGTAACAGACAGACAGACAAAAATTCTAAAAACTATAGATTCGGCCTCTGTATCGATAATAATGACTATTTCAATAAGATTTTCCCAAAAAATATCTAACGTACAGATTCGGCTTAGTTACAATTTTATTATATGTATAGATTAGTACTTTGTATTTTATTTTAATTAGATTTGAATTTTCAGGATTTACTGGAAGACCCACTTTATATCGGTTTACGTCAGAAACGCGTAAGAGGAAAAGAATACGACGAGTTTATCGACGAATTTATGGAGGCGTGTGTTCAACGATATGGACAAAACACGCTTTTGCAAGTGAGTGGCTAAATTAATATACGTATATTTGTAGAAGCCGCGAGCTCGATGGAATTTCCCATGGGTAATGTGAGTAGAAGATTAAAACGTCAATTTTCATAATTATAATTTCTAATATGAATGAAAAACTTAGGTTCAAATTTTCATTCCCTATTGATTCGCTTGAGCTCGACTTCTAGTTATAAAAAGAAGTCTAATGTAAAAGGCTATGCGTTTTCTGTCAGTGAAACTTGAGTGACTTTGCGATTTATTTTAGTTTTAGAAATAACTATTTATAACTTTTAAACAGTACCCAAATATTGATATTTTGGTCTTCTTTTCTTAATATTTTATGTTATTTTAGATAAATTATTTAAGTTAGAAGATATCACTTAAAATATACAAATAAACATACACTCGAATTAAGTATCTTCTTTTTTGAAGTCGGTCAATAGCAATATTCTATTGGAGTATTCAAATATGCGTAATGTACATACGCAATAAGTATATAAATATCGTATAATAAGATGCATTTAAGAACACCCTAATCCGGAAGCCCGCGCTTTATTTCTACATAGCTCGCTGTGACCTTCCTTTCCAAATGAGACTTGCAGTTGTGATTTAACCAGTATTTTCTTATAACATAAGACTATAACCTTCATATTTTCATGCTTTACGTCTAAAGTACCTTAATTTCTTCTTTAATAGTTAAAATCTATTAGATAAGTTCAACATTGTAATTTTTTAGTGTTACTTTTACACTTACACTTTGTGTTCCGTTCTCTCACTTTAACCAAGATCGTGAGTCACGTTACTTATAATAGATTATTTTAACCACTGAACAAGGTTTCAAATGATCTTATAAGTTTAAATAGTATTTGTTTATTATTATGGTCTTATCGGTAACAGTAAAGATATAAACGATACTAGCGACTTACCCTCGCTTCGCTCGGGTTCGTCTCTAAGTTGATTCCCCATACAAACTTTCATCCCCATTTTCACCCCCGTAAAGGATGATTTCCGGAATAAAAAATATCCTATGTCCTTCCCAGGGTTTCAAACTATCTTCTTACCAAATTTCATTTAAATCGGTTCCGTAGATCCAGAGATTACCCCCTACAACGTCGCAAACCCACAAACTTTACCTCTTTATAAAATTAGTACAGATGGTCGTATAATGTGGTACGTCTATTTATTAATATTTATTTATTTCTAATATTATTACATATACACATATATAGATACATAATAATATACATATATTATATATATAATATACTTATCATATTCACACTAATAAATTCCACGACAGTATTCACGCACCTCCTATCGTATCCGCTACTTGATATCGTATGAAAAAGGGTACTATATAATATGTCTAGAGATATTCGCGGTTATTCACCTTATCAACTCACCAAAACTTCATTACAATCTGCTATATACTATACATATACTATATACAGACAAAACAAACTTTTACGTTTATATATGTATGTATATATTCTATCGTTCTTTACTCTGTGAAGCTATTGGGATTAGCACTCGGTAATAATACGTTTTCAAGGCCGCGTTTTTTTTGTCTAAACTAAACCGCGGCAATTATCTCTAGTCAAAGACCCCAGATTCTTAACCGCAGTAGGCGGTTCCAATTAGACAGTTCCAAACGCTGTGACGATCGTTCATTTCAAAGATTATGACAAGATAATGTTCTATCGTGAGTATAGAGCGTTAGATTCAACGTATTTGTGGGCCGAAATAGTTTTCAATTCACTATAAATTAATCAAACAACCAATCGAAAAATGGAATTCGGTAACTTAAGAAATACTTCTAGGCTTTATGTATATTATATACAAAACAAAAACCCTACAAAATAGTGTGAGTTACTAAGATAAATAGCAATATGTGTGCAAAACGTGTATTTAAAAAAAATACCAAGGAAATTTTCCACCAATCGTGTTTTCGGCAATTCAAGATAAAAGTTCGAAGTATCATTTCTCTAAATATTCAGTGGTAACTTTCACAGATTCTGAGATAAATAACGAGATTTCTAGGTACAAACTTGTCAAATGCACACTAAAGCTTGTTTAAAATTAACAGCTAATATTTAGCTTACAATGTATGGAGGTATCTACATACATACTGAATTTCTTCTGACTACTGAATGTCTTTAATAGGGCTAATGAATAAATCTCTCGTATTTGAATTCAATGAAAAAGCTGTCTTATATGAATTAAACCCGCGATATATCTCAGTTATCCGCATTTTTAAATACTTAATACTTATAATGAATTTTAGAACGTGGCGTATATATAATACAGCAAATCTTCTTGATGAAAAATGTTGTCACGCTTTGTAAATATGGTAGGGATTCAATTAAAAATTGCCGTTAGTTTCAGCAAGTGTGTGCGTCAGTGACTTTCTATTATTAATAATAGCTACTCTTATGTAGCACTGAATAGTGCCAGAATTTTCTAATTTTAAAAGAATTATAGGTCTTCATATATTTAGTTGTATTAATTATACTTAATACGATAAAGGTGAAGAGATTGTTTGTTTGTTTCAACGCTAAAACTACCTGTGACTGTGTGCATCTGAATATGTATATTCATGTACCTACTATGTGGGTTGAATTAAGAAATATTTTCATGGACGTAAAATATAAAGAATCATTATATATTTTATGAGATCTTTTAAAACTTTAATGGTGTGTTTGAAATTTTCTGTTCCTTTAGCCATCTGGTAAGCTAACTGACCTATTCGCTGATTTGTAGTAAAAAAATTAAACTATTTATTTATATACTTTCTTTACCTATTTACTTTACAGCATGATGATGGAGTTTTCTTACTAGGCACCTATACATACTTAATTGTTTACAAACTCAATTCCTTGCCTTGCAAATTATCTCGATTAGCCCTAAATCTATTTCGTTTTATCGCGACATTCCTAGAGTTGCCAAATTACACGTCACTCGAACCATTTTAGTTGAAAAGAAACTATAATATAATTGATTTATTATTCAGCATGATTGTTATGAAGAATTCACTATATTATAACTATCTATGTGTAGGTACATTAATCTTTGTAATCTTATCTCTGTACCTTTGACAAACGACATTTTTTACATGACGTCATAGAGCGCATTTTTATCTATAATGTTACTTTATCTATATATCTGCAAACTGACAATTACTATTCACATTTTAATTACCTACTGTTCTGCAATAGTGAGTTAATGCATATATAGTACTTACTATTGTTTTTTGTTGCTTTATTGCAAAAATATTTCTACTCATCTTATTTAGATGATCCATTAAAATTTTATAATTTGAGCGCTTGAATACTAGAAAACATCTAAAACGTCAGTAAATAAAAGAATTGTTATATACTTATATATTTTTTTTTTATATAAAAGGTAAAACGAGTCGATATTCCGTTATTTTATTTTGTGCTCGCCAAAACAAATGTCAAAGTGAAAAATAGTATCGTGATTTTCTGATTATGCTACTATTTTTGATTTTGCCATTGAGGTCGTTTACTTTTTCAAAGAATCAGGGAAACTTTATATAATCATTACTTATTAGTCGTTAAATTAAAATTTTCTATATGTTCCAAAAAATATCATCTTGCTTAAGAATAACTTGCTGTTTAAAGCAGTGTGCTAAACAAAAAAAAATATTTTACTTTGAAATAATTCGTTTGTTTCAAATGACTCTGCATAGTTTAACTACAATGAATGGCGATGGCTTTAGGCAATTTGTCACCAAATTAAATTACCTATAATGGAAGGAAAAGACCAAGTTGCAAGAAGATTGAACCAGTTTTAATTTGACTTGGATTGTTGGCTCGTTTTGTTACTTAGTGTTCTTCGATGTAAATAATCTATACATATTACATAGTACATACTTATAATAAAATTGTAACTAAGCCGAATCTGTACATAAAATATTTTTTGGAAAATCTTATTGAAATAAACATTATTATGGATACAGACGCCGAATCTATAGATTATAGTCTGTCTGTCAGTCTGTCTGTGACCGCATTACGGAAGAAAGGCTGGAGGGATTTTGATGAAATTTGGTATGATAATAGCTGTTTATCCGGGTCAACATATAGGATACTTTTTACTGCGAGAAAATATCTCATCTCTGAGAAATCTATACTAAACGTTAAAACGTAATTCTAGGGACGAACCCGAGCGGACCTAAGGTGAGTTGCTAGTATGCATATATTTTTGCAATATTTACTGCCAAATACATTACATTCGTATGTGTATTGTGTACCTATTTAAATCATATTACTAACTGATATGTAATTAGTATTGTCTTATTATTGGGATGTCATTGAATGTTTTTAGGGATGCGTAGCCAAATAGCTTAAACGGGACCCTTATAATCATGTCCGTCTGTCCGTATGTCATAGTTAATTTACTCGAAGACTATTTGTTTCTCATAGTAATACTATGAAAGGAATATCGGAGATGCGTAAATATTTTATTTTACTTTTAATGAAAATTAGTAATTTAAAACGAAAATATAACATAAATTAATTATTAATTGTGTCATGCTCCAGAGTCTTCCGTGTGCGAGTCGAACTGGCACTTGTCCTATTTTTATTAATACTGTATTTAGCCCTTTTTAACGTCTTACTGTTGGGCATGGGCCTCCCTTCAGTACGAGGGTGATCAGGCTATAGTCCACCACGTTGGACAAGTGCGGGTTGGCGGACTTCACATGTCTTTTGAAAACTTGCTAGGTTCTCTCAGACATGCAGGTTTCCTCACGATGTTTTTCTTCACCGTTAAGACAAGTGACAATCATGTTGGAAATGATTCACACATGAAAATATAAGAGGTGCGAGACTCGGGGCTTGAACCCGCTTCACTCTGTTTCCCAAGCGAGCGCGTTACCTGGGCCTACTACTGCCTTTATTAATATAATAATAAATGTCAAAGTTTGTGAGTATGGATGTTTGTTACTCTTTCACGCCAGAACGGCTGAACGGATCTGTATGAAATTTGGCACAGAGATAACATATAGGCAATATTTTTTCCTGGTACAATGTACGGCTCCCGTGGGATAGGTTTGTTTTGTGTTTTCCTAGAGGCGAACCCGAGTATAGCGAGGCTGAGCCGCTAGTAAAATAAAATTGATTTTTATAGCTAACAATAGATGTACATACATTGTACAGATATCAAGTAAAAAGATATAATTGGCATTTATGTGCGCGAATACGTAGTACCTATGTACATATGTGAATTGTGATCACGTGTAAGCGTAGTATGGAATAATATGTTATAAAGAGTAATTGATCAAGCTTTACATAGTAACTGTGGTTACATATTTTAAATGAAAAGAAATAAAAATACGTTATTATTTATTAATGACAAATCGGTAGTTTGTATTTTAATGCATAACAATATAAACTCGTATAAAAATTGGAACATAGTAATTAAACAAACATCTTATATTATGAGTCTTTAGATAATTTTTTCGAAGTTATACTTCTTTTGGGACTTTTGGAAAAAGATATAAGAGAAAAAATTTTATGATGCGCGCGCACACCGACAGTCAAAAAGCGACGTGATGAAGTTAGCTACATTCCTTTTAGAAACAGAGAGTTGTGACGTACGGGATGAAATATAACTTCTTACGTGCGTACATAAGTACACACACACACGTTTTTTTATTTATTTATAAGTCTATAAGAATTATAATTAGGAATAAATATAAGGTAGTAAAACTATAAAATCTAAACGACATTTGCACAAAATCTACTAGAAATAAGCGAAATATATTATTATATTTATATACTAATATAATATTAAGTACTTAGATATTATAATATAATATGTTTTTTTTTGTCGATTATTAGATGGAAAATTATTTCCGAAAACCGACGTGTTCATATCTGCAATATTCACTGCAGTGCTTAATACGAATTGTGTAAAGGTAGTTTAGGTACTTCAAATTATCAATTTTGTCACAATTTATAATAATCAATTATCATCCTTATCGGTACTTATTTACAATTAATTATATAATAAAATTATTTTATAACTGCTTTTTGTCGTATCTTCCGGAACTTTTTGTGCATGTATTTGATTTGGTTCCAATGATTTGCCAACTAAAATAGGTATTAATATATTTCTGTTTAAATTCGTGTACGAAGGACTACGTAGAGATCTTACGGATATAGAAGATGGTTATGATAGACATTTGTTTTGACTCACTCTTGCACTTAATAGTATTTCAACTTACCTCAGAAAGGAATGAAACACTATTTCTCAATTATTTTATTGTACTTATATACATACCTACAATTAAATTATTTTTATTTAGAAATTAAATAAATCTTCAAATAACAAACACTTCAATCAGTCACACAGTCTTTGAGAATCCGATTCTATAAAAATAATCCCCAATGGAATTCGAATCTGCTACCAACGACATAGTAAACAGACTTTATACAATGTAAAACCATATATGTACCTACTACCTACTATGTTAACATTTCTAATACTACTATGTAAACATTTCTAATAATAAAACGTTATTTCGCAGTTCGAAGACTTCGCTTTAGGAAACGCGGGTCGTTTGCTAGCGAAATACAGGAATAAGTATTGCACGTTCAACGATGATATCCAAGGCACGGCAAGTGTTGCGGTCGCGGGACTTATGGCGGCCGTCAGAGTTACGAAGAGGAAGCTAAGCGAAAACATCTATTTGTTTTTGGGAGCCGGATCGGTGAGTTTTTAATTTATTTTTTCGTACCTATGTGTATTGTATATGTAGATAATATACGAGTACAGTTTATCTATTCCATACTAAGCGTTAAAACGCACCTATCTAGAGATGAACCCGAGCGAAGCGAGGATGAGTCGCTAGTTTTTCATAAAATGGAATCAGTAACTATGGTAAAACGTTGGAAGTTAAATCTTTTAGCTACGCTGATATATTAATTTTTAAAAAAATATTCTAATATGTTGCCATACATTAAGCTTCGTTCAGATGTATTATTTATAGATAGTGTAAACAATAATATTCAAAGCACGACGCGTGACGCTTGTGAGGTCAGTAAGAGGAAGTTCGCACTGCCTACGCCTAGAAATACTTCCATATTATATTTACTAGCAGAATCCGCGGTTTCGCTCGCGCTAAAACTACAAAAATATTTTCAAAAAAGGTAGTTTCATACAAACTTTCATCCCCTGTTTTACCCCCATAAAGCATGAATTTCGAAAAATGCTAAAACATGTATTTATTTAATTTTATTGAAGAGCATTAATACCAAGTTTCAAGTAATTCTGATCATAAATATGTTTTTGAATTGTATTATAATATTTATAACGTGTTTTCCCCTAGGAATTTTATATTAGGATAATTTCCCGCCAATCCGACACTCCGTTTCGACGTGAAGTAATATTAGATATGTAATAATATATATTAGAATAATTTAACAGCTTTCTTTTTAATGTAATATTTAGAAACATAATGTGATCTACTTTTACGAATTTCAACCAATATATTATGATATTTTGTTCGCGTAAATTAAACATATCAAACTGTTATCTAGAAGTTAACGTAAACATACGTAACGTAGTTATCGTTAATATTAGATCTGAGAAATATTTTCGTTCTCTTTGCGTAAGCATTAGCATATTACCTATTATAGTTTTGACAACTCTTTATTGTTTACTTTCATATTTTTTGACGGTGAAGGTCGAGTTACGGCTCTCAACACTATGTCGTTAATGATGCATCGTCAATGCATACAAACATATTTTACATTTTTTAAAAGCTTCAGTTAATATATTCATACAATTTAGTTTTGTTTTGCTATAAACATAAATAATATTTATAGCAATTTTTTTTTCCTTTTTTGGTTCCCGATCTTTCCGAATGCTTTACAGCAATCGTGGTCACGGGAGAGACCTGTCTCTTTTAGTTTTATTTAAAACTAGCGGCTCACGTTTGCTTTGCTCGGGCTAGTCTCTAGGGAAATAAAAACAAATCTATCCCACGGGAATCGTACATTTTTCCGGGATAAAAAGTAGTCTATGTTCTTTTCTACACTATTATAAAATTTCATTAAAAACCATTCAGTCGTTTTTGCTTGAAAGTGTACATACATCCATACATCCTCACAATTTTCGTATTTATAATAATATAGTATTACAGTATATCTCTGTCAAATAGTCGCGTAAATCTAAGAAAGGACCAAAATATAATATTTTAATAGCTAGACTAGTTTTATTTTTGCTTCTATAGTACTAAAACAGAAGTATCATTAACTCATCTCAGTCATTAATCACATGACATTACTCATAAAGATTCTGTATTTTAAAACTCAGATGATTAGACCCTCTATTAAACTTATCTAAACAAATTCGTAGTGTTATGTTTTGCTGATGATTACCAGCACCTATGTGGATATGACATAAGATATAATCAATAAATTCTAAACTAATCGATACTTGTAATCGAATCTTATCATAACCTATTCTACAAATATATCCGTTTATTTATTTGCTATGTTACATAATTTGGTGATAAGCCAACGTAAAAAGTAAATGTTTTTATTCATATCTTTTCGTTATATAACGCTATGTTATGTAAATGTTTGAAGTTGTTAGATTCTTATCGCTTAAATTAAACTATTTGTTTGTATGCATTATAAATATAGTGTAACAAAAATTGTTTGTATATATTAATGTACCTAATGCTTAGAGGATTAGTATGGAAACCACAGTAGTAACGTTCAATCCTACTAAAGTTATAAACGCTAAAGTTTGTGAGGATTGATGGATGGAAATTTGTTACTCTTTTTGAATTTGGTGAAACTTCACAGTAATACAGCTTATGTATTCATCCACCACGCTGGCCAAGTGCGGGTTGGTGGACTCCACACTTGCTAGGTTTTCAGTCTCAGACATGCAGGTTTCCTCACAACGTTTTTCTTCACCGTAAGATAGGAAATCATGTTTGAAATGATTCGCACTTGAAAATATCATAGGTGCGAGTCCCGAGATTTAAACCCGCTTCACTCGTTTTCCCAATTGAGCGCGTTACCACTGGGCTGCAACACATAAATAGGTTATTGGGTTTCACCAGTAAGTCATATAATAGTGCTGCGACCAGAGTTGTAGTGGTATTGAATGTCATCACATCCAAAATCCTGTAAATATTTGGTCGTTGCATAGAAAGATTTATATGATTTATTTATTCCAATGCGCTCTGTAGATTTACTAGATAACGCATGGCATTTGAATATCAAAATTGTACCGTCTATTTTACTCAAACTAAATGTTTTACACCATCTTGCTCTGTTATTAATATGGCACAATATAAATTTGAAAATATTGTGTAAATTATGCATCATAATTAAATTATTAAAATCAATATTATTTGGTTGTTCTTAAAAAAATACGATAACTACTAAGTGACACTAGCGTACATATTATATGACATAGGTACACTGCTATTTAATTGTGACGCATTATTTTAAACTCACTCATTTCATTATAAAAACTTTTTTAAGCGCTCTAAGTACGGTAAAGGCTAAATGAACATTCATTCAATATATTAATTCATGAACATTCAATCTTAGTATTAATATGTACCTAAGATTCTCTAACAAAACATTTTTTTTTTGCCAACAGGCAGCCAATGGTATTGCTAATTTAACAGTCGCAGCCATGGTAGCTGATGGTCTTACAGAGAAACAGGCCCAAGAACGCGTATACATGTTCGACATAGATGGTCTGCTTTCAACTAGAAGGGAAGGCGGTGTTCCACCTCATGCGAAGGCTTTTGGTAAAGACATAGAGCCCGAGAAGGACTTTGAAAAGTGTGTGGCGAAGATCAAGCCTAGCTGTCTTATTGGTAAGATATTGTATAACATACTGGATTGGACTTATATACTGAAGTTTAATTTAAATAATTAATACTTTCTTAGATTTACGCGAATATTTGACATTTTAAATAAAACCACCTTTTCGGTCACGGGAGACCATGATTGCTTTAAAGCATTCGAAACATCGATAACCAAAAATCAAAATAAATCATATATAGTATTATTTAATTTAAATTTTGAGAATTTAAAAAGTGACGATACAAAAGTGCTTATCAAAGTCTATTATATTATCGTTTTTGCCCGTGACTCTGTATCCGTATGGTACGTTGATCAAAATGGTCTATAAATCAAGGATATCTTTGATTGGTAAAAGATATATTTTTTAATAATTTCAGTAGTTTAGTTTTCATAAGCAATCATATTCCTGGTTATTATATAAATGTGAGGTAGTTATATAATGATGTATTTGTTACAAATGCGATTCAAACACATTATTATTTTTTTGCTAAAGACTACCACTTGATAAAATGTATAACTAACAATAAGTAAGAAAGATTTAACGCTTAAAAAACAAGCAATAAATAGTTTATTATAAGGAAGTATAAAAACAATAACTATGTATGTGTTAACTACCACTAAATATTTGATAAGATTGTTAAATCGATAGGTATACATTTATTATCTAAATTATATGTTACTATAAAGGCATAAATAAGGGCATCGACATACGGTATATAAGGTCTATATTTTTACACAAAATCGTTTTATATAATTGTTTTTTTGTTTAATTTTGAATTAAATTTCTACAATGATAACTATGCTCATATCGGACTTGCACTTCACTAATTATTTATTTCTTAATTCGTTTTGACATCAAAAATTACATAAAAAAATATTAAAAATATTGCGATGCAATTTTTTGTTACTACAATTTTTTAAAGGATGATGATAATGAAACTAAAAAACGCCATTATTAATAACATGCTTTCCATCGAAATGTAGAAAAGAATACCGTTTTATATTTTATTATGTTCCATAAATTCGTCGTATTATATATTAGTACCTGGGCCACCAAGCTTCGCTCGGAGTTTTTTATTGAGCAGTACAATTTTCTTTAAAAAAACTAAAAACTTGAATAAATACAAAAAAAAACAAAAAAAAATTATATCTTTGTATCCGTCCGGGATTCGAACCCGGACACCTGTGATTGTTGATCTTGCACCTTGGCCGCTTGAACACGATGCCTATACCCGAGCGTGCAAATTATCGACCATATTTTGCGTGGAATAATGCAAAAGAAAGCCGCATGAGAATTCGAAAACACGCGTTTTCCCAGACATAAGACTAATCTAGATCGATTTATCGTCCCCGAAACCCCTTGTACACTAAATTTCATGAAAATCTTTGGAGCTGTTTCCGAGATTCAGATTATATATTGATTATATATATATTAAATATTGCTGCAACGGCCAAAACTTCAATAAGTTATTTATTTGTAATGTGTTTGCTTGTCCAGGATGTTCAACCGTCGGTGGAGCTTTTACACCTAACGTGTTGAAGCAAATGGCGCAGAACATCGAGCGGCCAGTAGTGTTCGCTCTCTCCAATCCCACTAGCAAAGCGGAATGTACTGCTCAAGATGCTTATGATTATACAGAGGTGAGTGTTAAATATTAGGTTATAGGTATGGTATTTACAAGATATATATTTTGACTAGCGAATCATCCTCGCTTCGCTTCACTTCTGATTTGTCCCTAGACAAAAATAGATCTATCCCACGGGAACTGTACATTTTTCCGGGATAAAAAGTAACGTATGTGCTATTCCAGACTATAGTCTCTATCTCTATCTCTATCTGTATCTCTGTGCCAAATATTATCCAGAGCTGTTCTGATGTGAAAGATTAACAAACATCCTCACAAACTTTCACATTTATAATAGTATGGATGAAAGGAAGTATGGATATATTCATAACGATATAAATAACAATAATTAGTTTTTTTTCTATACTAATAATGTCATTGTTATTAAATATCTATTTTAAATAAGTTTAATAATATTTTATGTATTAAAGAATTATTATTCTGAACTATTTTCTTAATACAAATAGATGCAAATATTTATATAATATATTTATATCAAAATTGCAGTTAATTTTGAAACATGATTTTGATATCTATGTTTTAACATAGTTAAAATAGAACTAAGTTGCCTATTATCGATTTATCATATTATCTTAGGATTAAGTCGATTTACTTACTAGTGAATACCGATACTAACTATAGTTTTAGTCGAGTTTATAGTAAAAAACCGCGTAAAAAGTTTAATTTTGGCATGTCAATTATAGATTGACCTTGTCCGTCATTCGGCTTTACTTCGTTACATCTTGCTCAAGGTCTAGGTTGAAGACGTTTATTTCGTAATACTTTTGAAAATGTAATTATAATTTTATATTCATGATTTTTTTATTATATTTCAAAAGTTCTCCATATTTTGTTAATATTTTCACCGTAAATACTTTTTCGTAATATATTCACTTTTTCATAGTCTCGTAATTTTTTATATGTATGTATTGGATACGTTTATTTGTATTGCTCGCAAATTTTAATAGTTTTTTTCACTTTAATAGGCAAACAAGATAATGAATTTCCAATTGCCTGCATTTAATGTAAGCAATTAGAAAAAATATTGGATTAATGTAAACCATTTATTTTAAAGAGTATAATTTTTAAAGATCTGCTTAGAGATTTTCATTTTGAAATTTTAAGCTTTTTTTATGTATTACCCTAGCTCGCTACGCTCGGGTTCGTCCTTTGCTACGTTTAAACGGTTAGGTTTTATGTTATATATTATATGATATATAGCCTATAGCTTTCCTCAATAAACGAGCTTATCTAATGCAAAAAGATTTTTTCATATCGGATTAGTAATTCCTGAGATTAGCGCGTTCAAACAAACAAACACTGCCTCTTTATAACATTAGTATAAATTATTACCTAGCCAATATCTTAACATAATTATGGTACTAACCAGATCTAACAATTATTCTTAAATAAAAAAAAAACCTAATCAACCAATATAACTTCCAGGGTCGTTGCATCTTCGCATCGGGCTCTCCGTTCCCGCCGGTGCACTACGATGGTAAGGAGTTCCATCCCGGCCAAGGCAACAACTCGTACATATTCCCCGGTGTGGCTCTCGGCGTTATAGCAACTGCGACCCACCATATACCCGAGACTATGTTCTTGACTGCTGCTAGGGTGAGTGATTTGGTTTTATTGGATTTTTTGGTTGTGTTGTGGAATAGAATGAGAGCGAGAAAAAGAAGGTGAGAGAGAAATATGAATGAACTAACAGCGACTTACGTTTAGTATAGATTTCTCAGAGACGAGATATTTTCCCGCAGTAAAAAGTATTCTATATGCTGAACCGGATAACCAGCTATCATCGTACCAAATTTGATTGATGCGATCACAGACAGACAGACAAAAATTCTAAAAATATAGATTCGGCCTCTGTATCGATACTAATGGCTATTCCAAAAAAAGAAGCACTCGATATATAGGGATAAAAGTAATCTATCCAGAATGATAATGATGATAACACTTCTTTCCCTCTTCTTTGCCTCTTTAAGTTGTAACAATACTCGTATGTACACTAATATTTACTAACATTCGTGTAAGAAATTAAATTTTCGTCTCAGCTACTAAGTATGGTCGGTCGTTATTGTATATTTCTACTATTGTTTTTATATATTATAACATTTCAATTCAGCCTATAAATCTCATGTTACTCGTTGAAATGCATCACGTCATGACGAGAAAATAGTAATCAATAGTTAATAAATATATCAATCATCGATTATTGTGGGTTAGATTGCTATATAAAGCACAGTGTTTTGCTACTAAACGGAAAATGCAAGGAAATCTTTAATAAAGTATATATGTTAAAATGAACAGTAATTTTTAATATCCTATTATATATGTGTGTTTTGTTGATTTCTTTGCCTTTATTCTGCACAACCCTAGCTTATGTTATTTTTAAACTCGCTTTTATTAGCTTCATATGTCACTTACTATGTAAGCGAATCATGGAGTTCGATTTTAACTTACTTTTAATTAGATTTATTTGTGCAAAAATGAGCCAAGCACATTGTATTTATAATTGAACTATAGTAACGAATAAGTAATAGGTAATTTATGTTAACTATTGTTGTTTAATGAAAAAGATTAACAAATTAACATATTTATAATAATAAATTTACCCAAAACTAACAAAAATAGATAAACATATGGAAATTGTATTTATTTAATATAATTGCTTTCCGAATATTTCTATAGTTACATTTCTATAACGTTAGTCTAATTATCTTGTTAGGACGACGATAATACATCTCTTCTGCGGTTAATAGTTAAACCTTTTTTAAGAGTCCCATACGTTAGTGTTTTTCAAAACAGATTTTTTTACTTTTTTTAAAAAAATATTATTATTTGCATAGAGCTTGTAGTAAGGATAATCACATAGAGTACTTTTATCGCAGTATATCAAGTGTTTATATTATTGTATCTCGTATCTATCGGATTTGAGGGAATCAAGGGCGTATTGCTCCTAATCAATAATATTACACTACGCTACATATCTTAGATAGAAGGCTTGTGCATGTCCCTATGAAGGCGTGTTTTAAATTATGCAAGGTTTTTTTATTTATATAAATGCTAACTGTGAAAGACATTACTTATTAGAAATTGAAGTCCCTCACCGCGTAGGATTTGTGTTTGTTCGGGCTAATCTCAGAAACTATTGTTTGGATTTTCATACGATTTTCACTTATTGATAGAGAGTATCTAGGAAGGTGATAGAGAGATTATCTAGATTTTGCGGATCGAGTCGAAAAAAATGCCTTCTGAGAGATTCTGTGCTTTTCAACCGACTTCAAAAAGGAGGAGGTTCTCAATTCGACTGTATGTTTTTTTTTTTTTTTATGTTTGTTACCTCAGAACTCCGTCATTTATTAACCGATTTGGACAATTTTTGTTTTGTTTGAAAGGGTATACTTCCAGATTGGTCCCATTTAAATTTCAAAAAAAAAATACCACCCCTAAGTGTGGAAAAACAACTAATGATGAATTTAACCTACTTCTAATTGTCATATTGACTTGAAACTTTGCAAGTATTTCTATTTCCGTTGATAGTACAGTGGTTTGGTGTTATTGACCTGATCAGATGGCAAGGCCAGAATTATTTTGTTTGATTTGACAAGCCTAACACGTTAGAATCCTTACTATGCTACTACTGTCTACACTAAAAAGGGAAAAATAAAAACTTTTTAACAAAAAAATAAAAACCGACTTCAAACAAAAGCACTAAAAAGTAAAAAATAACTGATTGGTAGTTTTCATTTACTATACATACCTAATCAAATATTTTCGAAGTCGGTGTGCTTTGCTTTGTATGGGCTGGCACCGATTTCGAAAATATTTCATTAGGTATGTATTTAATAGGTAGGCTTTAATTACTTAGCCAATAAAAACCTATATATAAAACCCATGTTTTACATCATTTAAGGCCGTTTAAAATAAAACAACGTTGAATGCTTATTATATATCAAAATCATAATATCAATAGAACGACTTCAGTGCATCGTACCAAAATATTGATTATTTATCTCAATCCCAGCTCACTTTATGTTGGCAGTGACATAATGTATTGTTGCCAAGTGTTGATTATGTCGCGTCTACAGATTCATTGTTTGAATATTTTATATATTCACGTATCGTTTGTCGCTAGCGATTCACGACATTCGACACATTCGTTTTTATTTATAGACAAGTTATAATTACCTATTATAATCATCTTTAACCGACTTTAAAAAAGGAAGAGAGAAGGAGTTGGAATTTTTACTTACAAATATTCTAATACAAAGCAAGCACAAGAATTGTAAAAACACATTTAGTGTCGGGATTGCATTTTAAGAATGATTATGCGTTCCTTTGTGGTTTTGATAATGTTTAATTTAATCTAAAAATAAATATATAGATTAAACTAAACATTATCAAAACCACAAAGGGACGCATAATCATTCATATATATATATGTGTAATAAAACTATAACTAAGCCGAATCTGTACACTAAATATTTTTTGGAAAATCTTATTGAAATAAAAATTATTATCGATACAGAGGCCGAATCTATAGTTTTTAGATTTTTGGTCTGTCTGTCTATCTATTGCCGCATCAAAAACCACTTGCGAGATTTTGATGAAATTTGGTATGGTGATAGCTGGTTATCCGGGTCAACATATAGGATACTTTTTACCGCGGTAAAATGCCTCATTTCTGAGAAAAAATACAAAAACTGCAATGTAAGAGTATACTAATATGTATAACCTAAGAATTTCGTTTTTGGTCATCTGAAAACGAACGGAGCCACGGGAAATGCTAGTATAAGATATAATATTAGTAATGAACATTTTGTGCTTGATTTTCGAAGAACATACGTATTGTACATGATCCGGTGAATATTATACATCGAATACATTCCCTCAGAATGCTACAGGCTTGTGTTTACACAAAGATGTATATGCAATGAACAATAATTGAACCTACAACTTATGACATTTTTCCACGCTAGTTATCTCAAAAAGACTATAAGCTGTATTAACTAAGGTAACAGATAAGTATCTCCATTGTATAGGAGACATCATTATGCCCTTATTAATATTAAATATAATACGATACTCATATTTCTTTTAAAATAATGTAAATATCCAATCCAAATTTATGTCATGTAAAATTCCAATGTAAGTAACCAAAATAAACCCGGAAATAATCTGCAATAATAGTTTTATTTAAAATGTCCAATGTTCGTGTAAATCTTTAAAAGTATAATTGTTCGCGATGAACAAAAGAAAGATTTGAATATCTTCCCGAAAGATTTATATTGGTCTGTCTTAATAGAATTACAATGATTTTTGAAGTTATACTTCTTTTGGCACGCCCAAAAAAATTATGAGAGTAAAATTTTTACGATGCGCGCCCACACCGACAGTCAAAAAGCGACATGATGAAGCTAGCTGAAAGCGACATGTTGAAGTTAGCTGCATTCCTTTTACAAACAAAGAATTGTGACGTACGGGATGAAATCTTTAGCTATTTTTGTTGTTACGCCAAAGAAGTATGACTTCTTACCAGTACGTGCGTACATAAGTACACACACACGTTTTTATGCGTAGTGCAAGTGTCGTGTGCAACAAGTAGAATGAGGGTTGTGTAGATGATGTATGTTGACGTTGATAGTTTTATTGGTTGAGTGTATGACTCGATATAATAAACATATTAAAGCGCCTTATGTTAAAGGCAATAGGGTTGACGATAAGAAATCTGGTGTCGACAAAAATCTAAATACAGATAAAATATATTCCAGACCCTAGCAAACTACGTGAGTGAATCCGACTTGGCCATCGGTCGTATCTACCCGTCGTTGGCGGAAGTGAAAGAGGTGTCACTCGCCATAGCCATCGAAGTAGCGAAAATGGCCTACGATGAAGGTAACTGTTTGTTTATTTTATCTATGTTTAACATCGATCAAAAAAGTACTAGATACACAATCCCATGCAAAATTTCTGTAAAAATTGTCGCCCATTGTGTTTAGGTAATTATTCTAGTTGAATTAATATACAACAATGTAAATTGAACCTTAAATGCAATGCTTAAAGTTGTTTTGACAATAATTATAAATAAAAGTGAGTGACTGATTGTGTATCTAGTAATTTTTTTGATCGATGATGTTTAAGTGTTTATATAATGGTAGATCCAATATCATTACCACTTGCCTTACGGTGAAGGAAAACATCGTGAGGAAACAAAAAAAATATGCATGTCTGAGAAAACCTAGCAAGTTTTCAAAAGACATGTGAAGTCCGCCACACCCGCACTCGGCCAACATGGTGGACTATGGCCTGATCCTCGTAATGGGAATCCCGTGTGCAGCAGTGGGAATTAAAAAGGGCTGGGTACATTTTTCAAGATGAATGATGTATGGAGATTGATGGAAGGAAGGTTTATGAGGGATGTTAAAAGATATTTAAAGTAGTGACATGGTCTATTTTTGGGAAATAAGGAACTTGTTATTATATTACTATGGAACTATTTTTCTTGATGCAGCCGTTTCGGAGATTAGCCGGAACAAACAGACAAAAACTTCATAAAACTGTTTTTTCTTATTAGTACCGTATATACTTTCATATGCATTTAGTAAAAAGCTGTTATTTTGACATTACAAACATACACTTCAATTTTATTTATCTGTATAGATAACATTAAAAATTCAATTTTAGAAATATGTGGTTCCGCATACCCGAAGCCGGAAAATTTCGAAGAGCACATAAAAAAGTATCTATATAACGTTAACTATGAATACCAACTACCGGATTGTTATCCTTGGCCTGAATATCCCCCGGTCGATTATAAAGGCATCGAAGGAAGGAGATCACCGCTTTACGTTTAAAACCTTAATGTTTTCTTTTATTGTCAATACTTTTTAATTTATTCGGATTATGATGCGGTAAAGGCAATTGTTATTACGTTTACGTATTCAAAGATAAAGTTAATTTCGCTAGTAAATAGATAGATGGAGTGTAATTTTTGCTTTGAAGTTTGAATTATTTAGTTTTTTTTGTAGGTACATATTTGTTTTTTTTAAGGCGTTTAGTCAGATGTATTATTTAGCCCGTATGTAGTTTGTTTCATGAATTCATTATATAGCTTATTTTCGGTATAAACCGTACTTACAGATTTTTTAACTTCGATATCGATCGAATATTAACGAAAATATCAAATTTATAACTGTACAAGTCGATGAAAAAGTGCTACTATTCCATTTTGTTATTGTATTAATAATTGAGTTTAGTGGTCATTTCGTTTGCTAAAACATAGGTATTTGAGTTCTGAGTAGATAATAGACAATATACCAAATATTATATAGAACTTACAAAGCAATATTTTAGTTAAAGTCAAATTCCAAATCGACGCTGTTGTAAATTTAAATAAAAATAGAAATTTGTACCAGAACATAACAAAAAAAAAAATAAAATAAAAAAAAAATTGAAATGAAACTAATACGTATTTTTTTCATCATTTTCCAGGTCTTGCTTCAGTATACCCCGAGCCGAAAAATTTAGGTAAGCACGTGGAAAACCAAATGTACAACTATAACTACGAGAGCTCCATGCCAGTTGTATGGGATTGGAAACCCGAAGAGAAGTTCAACGTACGACCAATACAACCAGTACCTAAGAACATTTAAAGTATTTAATTTAATTATTTATCGCTTAAAATAATACTATTATGTCTAATCTGAAAATAGAATGTCCGATCCGAAATCAGAATTAATAGTCTCACATATGATATACGAGAGTTCAATAACGAAAACGGAAAATTTGAATTTATATCGATTACAAATATGCATATAATATCGGAAGTATGAAAAATAGGTTGTATGTATATTTGATTAAATACCAAACTAAAGTATATAAAACAGTATTTAATTTATTCTGTATGCGACAGTACATGGAATGTTAAAGTTTCAATAGGTTAATTTTTCTATTTAATTGTACACAAAGTATTATTACCTCCGTATTAGACATCGGAATAATATGTCGATATTAGGTCATAGTATTATGAAAGAAACTTTTGCGCTGTTTTAATTTTATTATAAGTCTATTTAAGGCATTTTCTTGTAAGACAAATAAAAAATTACGTAAAAGTCATTAGTCGAACGTTCTACGTATAGATAAATTAAATAAAAAAAATGTTTGAAACTGACAATATTAAATATTGTTTAGAATTTTAATTTATTGTAATACTATGGTTTTATTTCATCGACATGAATAAATAATAAATTTAACACCAATTCTAAAACAAGTTCCATATATACTATTTACGGTAGTTTATATATTAGCAATTATACTTAATATATTTATTATATATAATATGTATGTTAGTAGAAGTAGTGTCGTTGTGCAAATGTATGTGGCCTTTACCTTTATAACTTAGGCCTGCGAGTGACCAACGCTCGATAGTATTAGATCTGTATTGTTCACAAAATATATTTAGCACATTTGTGTTTTCAAAATTATGTAATTACGTTAAAAATTAAAGTTTGTATTTATTTATACATTATTTTGTGTTATTTTTATTATATATTTTTTAAATCATTTAACTTCCGTGAGTATTATGGCATGAAATAAACGTCTAGTCACCGCAGCATTTAGTTTTGCTTCATATTGTCTTATATTTTTAATATGTTTTAAAAAATACAACTATGAAAAGACATGTGCATTATTTGTAAGAAATAATCGGTTAATTTTAAACAAATCAATTATATTTTCATTTTCTCGTATAACTATGTATGTATTAAATCCAAATTGTGTAATTCGTCAAATAAAAGTAAAAAAAATTATGACGAGATGTTTCCTATCTCATAATATAATGCTTCGTAGTGTATTAAAATGGCGATTATGAATTATGTATACAAACGATAATAATAATCGATACATGATCGATATTATAATTTACATAATATCGATATCTAAAAAGAAACAATCGATCGATTATAATTATTATACGCAATCGTAAAATAAACTAATTATATACGTATCGTTCTTCTATATATTTCGACTCGGATTTTTAGTATACGTTTCGCGTTCAGTATTTATTAATTTAGTGAGACAAATTTTATTTTCGCTGAGCGAAAATTTGTTTATGTTTAAAAGTGTACCGGTATCTATTGATACGATGTGATTATGTTGCTGTGTGTAGGTTATGATTTTGAACTAAAACTTTTATTATTAAAAAAAATATATTATATTCATTCATTTATTCACTCTTTTCTAATCGTTTTGATGCTCCATTTTCTTATTGAAATGTTTCACTTCTATTGTTTATTTCTTTAGTATTGACCAATGACCATAGACCTAGAGAATGGACTAAGCAATACTCTCATGAAATTGTCCTCTCTCTAGAAAGAGACAAAGTGAACGTGCGGCCAATAACCTGTCTTTTATTACAATTTGAATTTTTAAATGGAATGTAGAAAAGTATAATATTATTGAAAATTATAATATTACTAGCAGACTACCTTTGCTTCGCTCACGTTCGTCCCCAAGTACGTCTTACCGGTTAGTATGAAATAGATGGACTATATATTATATGACGTGTTTTCCCGTGGGAATGAGATAATCTCTTGAGGTTAAAAGTAGCCTATGCCACTCTTTAGCCCGCCAACTTTGTCCACATAAAAAATCCCGCCAATCCGTCACTCCGTTTCGAAGTTAAACAAGGACAAACAAACAAACACTTTCACATTTATAATATTAGTATGGATAATTGAATGTAAAATGGTTATAAATATTTATCTTCATTAATTGTTTTTCAATTAATACAGAAGACTTTTGGTCGCATATTCGTTTTGCCTCTTTCCGCCATTTTTAGCTGACGGCTGGCAAAGAAACACTTATTCCACTCTATGTCTATGGCATTGACCGAGTGTTTTCACACATTACAAAACTGCCGAAAGTTGTGTTGTTTGAGATTTTAAGCTTTTTATTGCCACACTTATTAATATTACGCACTTTTGACCGCGACTGTAGCAGGAATTGTTTATATAGTAGAATATTATTAGTATATAATATATCTATTTTATTAGTTATTTCTTTATTATATAATATTATGTATAATATGAAGTTTCTTTTTCAAGCTTTTGAGTTTTCTTTCTTATTATTAAGTGTGGTTTTTTTAATTTATAATATGACGTGACGCATCATGTTTATTGTGTAATATTAAATATTCTTAACTGAATAATTTTTTCAATTAATATAGTTAATATAATGAGTCGAAAGTAGTTTTCATATTATTGTCCGAAAATAATTTTAATATATATGATGTGTTGTGTCATCTGTTCGTTGCTTCTTTTCTATCATTTATCAGGGTTCGTTTACTTTAAGCAGTCTACTAGGTCAATTGTTTTCAAAGTTTACTTCATTGTATGCAAGTTGTGCTGTAATTAGGATATAAATTGTTCTTTAATGAATGGATGTTACTAATTAAATATGTTCAAAACCTTATCGTGTGTATTTTTTTGTTCGTCCGTGTGTTTTTACCCTTATATTTTATGGTAAATAAATAGTTGTTATATTTATTACATTTCGGCAAATGATAGATTTCTTCCACTAACTTTTCTTGGCACTGTAAGTTGGTTATATTTAAATATGATTCAATTCAATTTTCTTGTTAATTGTTTCAAAATCTACTAGTTAGCACAGATTTTTCCAGAATTTATGATTCAAAAATTATATTTTGAGATGAAGTAGATGTCAAAATGGAACATTTTACCTTTTTTATATGTGTGTGAACCAATATTTCTACTACTTCAAACTCGATGAGATTTTTTAATAGTGACTAAAACAAGATTAGATCTTGATAAAGTATGTTATCTCATATAAAATATTATATACACTCTATCGAGGGTTTTATTTTGCGGTTGCGGACTATGAGAAATAGAGTACATAACCCAAAGATCAGTACTAGATACACAATCGGCGACAAAAAATGTCCTCACCGAATTCACTCATTCCAACATTTGAGCTCGCTTTTAATTATTTTTTTGTGAAAATAACTTTAAGCGTTCCATTTAAGGTTCAATTTACATTGTTGTACATTTCAACTAGAATAATTACCTAAACACAATTGGTGGTAGTTTTAAGAGAATTTTGCATGGGATTGTGTATCTAGTACCTACTTTTTTGATCGATGACATAACCGCAGAAAAAACTGGAATAATAGCATTATTTTTATAAAAATATCAATTTACTTGATAGACTAAATTGTATTTACGTGTTTCTTATTTGAAAACTAGCATCAATATCTTAACTATTTCATAGTGATTAGTGAGTTACGGGAAAGAGAGCTTTTACAATTTGTTTAGATTTTAATTTAGTTTTTAAACGATTAAACAGCACATTCTTAGGAGGCAGCTAATTTGGTCTAATTTTCATAAATTATATAAGCATTTAATAAAAAATAATAGACACGAGAATAATAAATACAAAAATACTAACGGCTCACCCTTTCGCTTTCGCCTCTAGGAAATCAAGAACAAACCTATCCCACGGGAACCGTACATTTTTCCGGGATAAAAAGTAGCCTACGTGTTATTTCAGACTATAATCTATCTCTGTGCCTCCTGTGATTCGATCAGCCGTTCTGGCGTGTAAAAGTAATAAACATGCGTACTCACAAGCTTCACATTTATAATATGTACCTATTAGTATAAATATTAGTATAGACTATATACTATAAACTAATGTAGAATAGAAAATTCAAGTCAAGAAATTGTGATATCAGTGTCAATTTAGTTGTCACTCTGTAAATTACCACAATGTTTTCCATTTTGCAACAAAAAAATTTGTAAGTACATCTCTGCTTTAAAAACATGATCTAGTCTTAGGAAACCTCCGAAATTCAATATATACATACTTATTTAAATACTACTTTATGAAAAAATATTTGTTTTATACTTACTTTTTAATGTAACACGATTCAATTCAATTCCATTCAATTTGTTTGTTTAGTGGCTTCTAGTAGTGCAGTGTTGGTACAATTTACTTCACCAATGTTACGATACGATGGATTAAAAAAAAAACAATATTTATTGATCAAGATTCATTACTTTAATAACTTTACTTACTTGTTTCGTAAACGACAATTTTAATACTAAGTACCTACCTAATGGTGACGATAGGTTCAGTATAATTTAGGAATACATAATGAATATAAATAAATATTCCATTCGAAAATAAGCTTTTATACCGTCTATTACATTTGAAGAGACCACTTAAACTTAATAGCTTTCAGTTAATCAACATTCAAATAGAATTCATTTTGGTTACTGTCTTTAAGAAAACACAATAGACGAACCGTTTTAAAATAACATTGTTTAGCCATCGATGAATCTTTTACAGTTGTACGAATAAAATAAGGCAAAATCACTTGATCGATCTCCTTTTGAAGAAATGCTTAGTATTCTTTGAATTGAAGCAAGTTCAATGTCGATACGTTAGTGAAGCGACGGGTGATATGATATGTCCGAATATGGTAAGAGGGATTGACCATTTAAGAGATCCTCGTTTGAATAAGGTAAGCTCTAAATATCTTATTTCAATAAAAGCGACTTATTGTCGTCTCTCTTGGATTCTTACCCATGTTCCTTTTATCTTATAATATTAAATGAGAAATTCTTGTATGTATATTCATATAATATGTATTTATATGTACATTTATTTCGTGTATCTCGGAAATGGTTTTAATTATTTAAATCAAATTTTGCATTTATTGTTAGATTAGGTTTTGCTTTTTAAGTTTATCCATATATATCTTATATCTATTTTTTTATCTTTTCCAACAAAAATGATTTTACAAAAAAAGAAACACCTAAGTGGGCGTTACTTTTTTTTTTAATTACTCGTGTGCTTACAAATTACAGGCAGTGGCATTTTATGGTAAATTTTATTATTGACAGCAGCCTCTTGATTGCTACTCCAGATCATAGTCTGTCTACTAATTCTCATTAAAAAACGTCCAGCCGTTCCTCGTGAAGGAGCGACAAACAAACACAACATACAAATTTTCGCATTTATATTCATTGTAATTTATTTTATTTGTTTGGGCTGTTTAGATTAGAAGCCATATTGAAAGGTTCGACATTGGATCGCTTTTGATATTCCATCTGTATTTTCGTAGTCTCCGTATTAAGTATATTACGGTAAATCGTTTGATATCAATCTGCTTTTCATTTATTATTAAGAAAATAAATAGTATTAGGCTGTAGAAGGGTAATAAGAGAATTTTGGTACAAATATGAAATATAATATTTGGAATACCTACTGCTGAGTTACGGTTAAGTAATACCTTAAGTGACTTTGAAGATAGTTTCTATTATATTAATTAGTGGATACTTTATATTGAAACTAATTTGTTAGATATGGGTATGTAGATTAAAAAATCGTTTTTCAGAAAAAATATAAGTGGCAAAAAAAAAAAAAAAGAATTTGAACATTTTGCTTTTAAACAACCGTCGCTAATAGAGAGCGAGAGTGGAAAGCGAAATTTGCTTACAATAATATTGGTTTAAGTTAATTGCCTTTTTCAATCTTACAATACCTTGATTATTCAAGCAGTACCTATTTAATATTATTGCGTGTAAAGTCTCACAAGTATTATAAAATACTAGCAACTTAAACTGGCTTCGCTCGGGTGCTTCCCTAGGTACCTAAAAGTAACCTATTTGTTACTCCAGTCTTTAGTTCCAATATTAGTGTTCCAGTGTATCACACACAGTCTATCTATTCAATATACTTATGTAAGTAGTAAGTTTCATCAAAATCCGTCCAGCAGTTTCAGCGTGAAGAATAAATAATAAATATGTTGGGACATTAACACATAGCACCATCTAGTTCCATGATAAGTTATGAGGCTTGTTTTATGGATACCAGATAGTTGATACACTACACATATATAATTTTAAATACATACGTCATATTATAAATATAAGCACCCATGACTGGAGTACAAACTTTCGTGCTCATCACACAAATGAATACCTCCAGCGGTGACCGCTGGTATAACAAGTAGGGTCATTACAAAATCCCCCCCAACGTGCGTTCACCTTGTTGTGGTGGGGGGGCTCAGTAGTGCCCGGCAACCCAACCGGGCGCGGAACCAAGAAACGCACAGGGAGGTGGCCCACTTCGGTGGGCGGTGGGAGGTGGCCCTGTTCGGAGGGCGGTGTACCATGCAGGTTGCTCCTGGTACTTCTCTGATAACAGAGTGGACCTTGGAGCAACCCCGTGGTTGTTGTGGTCTGCTTCGGCAGACCTGCCGTCGGGGCGTCGTAGTTGAATGCGTAAGCGATCCTGCGACGCCCCATTAAGATGGGGGAAGGCTTTGTTGGGTTTTAGTGGGTAGTACTGGCTTTGCCGGTGAGTCCCACACCTCGTGCGTAAATGCATTTCCCAAAGTTAAAAAAAAAAGGGGTCATTACAAACTGAGCCTAACGTGATATCGAAAAGAAGTAACAAACAGACACGTACATACAAACTTCCGAATTTATAACATTAATTTAATATATTTTAGGGTTTAGCTTTCACTTTAGCAGAAAGACAAGCTCTGGGAATTCAGGGTCTTCTCGCAGCCGATTATAAAACACAGGAAGAACAGTTGAATATTTGTCGTATATCATTGGATAGATATAAGGACAGCTTAAACAAATATCTTTATTTGGTTGAGTTACAGGTAAATAGTACTGTGACATATAATTATTGGAAGTATATTTACTTATTTACCACCTACGAGATCACAGTTTGTACTATCTAGTCGTCGCCTTAGTGCTTTTTTGTTCAAACGATTAATACTTTTTGTACTTTACAATGTAGAGTTTTATTCCTTTATTTTAAAAATAAAGCTTTATTGCTAAGGTTTATTATATACATATAAATGTAGATAAAATATTTTTTTGAGCCTTGTTAAAGTAAAATATTTATTTTACTTTATTATAAGTGAAAATAATCTTTAGGTAATACAACAACTAAGCACCCAGACGATGTAGTGTCAAACAATGTAATATATCCTCCGTGTTACTCATAATAAATATATCGAAACACGATTATTAACATATGTAATAAGTTTAAAATATTTAATTTAAAAAAATTTCAATGATATTTCTTTTAAGAAAAATATCTATATATAGTGAAACATACATCTGTACCTCACTTTCTTTCACTTTCCACTCATTTTAAATTATGCTCCAAGCAAATTGTCTTGGATCTCTCAATGAAAGGATTGAACCTAGAACCAATGCTATAAAACTATTACAGTTAAAGTTACTGTAAAACTAATACAATAATTTAAGAACGTTAGACTTAGAATTTATTTACATATTAAAAGTTTTATTCTGTACTTTAGGATACAAATGAGAAAATATTTTTTAGTCTACTCGCTCAAAATATAGAAAAATATTTGCCTATTGTTTACACTCCTACCGTGGGACTGGCTTGTCAACGTTTCGGCCTTATTTATAGAAGGCCGCGAGGTCTATTTGTAACGATTTATGATAAAGGGCACGTATTGAATATTTTAAACAACTGGTACGCGCATATATTTTTACTTTTATTTCAAAATATATTTTCTAGACTTATTACATATTCATAATATACTATATAAATGAACTAGCAATTTTTATATACATACAATAGCGACTCACATTCGCTTCGCTCGGGTTCATCCCTAGCTTGCTTTCCCAGACAAACTTTCATCCTCTTTCTCACCCCCCTTTCATATCGTGAGACTTAAAAAAACTAATTTTAGTAAACATTTTTTTCTTTGAATTTTCTTCTATACGAAATTTGTCCTGACAATAATAAACACAAAAAAAAGAATTATCCAATTGGTGAAATCGATCAAACATAGATTGTCGATCATAAATAGGCGTACATACGCGCATAACTTCCGATTTCGGTGATTCATTTTTATTTACATATATATAGATATTAGTATAGTATTATATGATCTGTGATAAAGATCTAGATAGATATGTATGTAGTGCACCCATATGTGATTTTTAGGCCTGAACATGATGTGAGAGCAATAGTATTTACAGACGGCGAACGAATATTAGGCTTAGGAGATTTAGGGGCTTACGGCATGGGTATACCAGTCGGGAAATTGGCTCTATATACCGCTCTAGGCGGTATTAAGCCGCATCAATGTTTGCCTATCACTTTGGATGTTGGAACTGACAATCAGGTAAAATATATTTTGTTGACTGTTGTTATCGTCATTTAAATAGTGAAGTCAAATTTCAACAATGAAAAGTTAAAATTGGCAAATTGAGTCTCTTAGCGAGCTTGGAAATAAGCAGTACCTATGACAGGACTTTTAAATAGTCAATCTCAGAGGAATACAAATTTTTAGTTCTGTAAATTATCCTTTTATATGAATTCAAATATAAAATCTACGCAATTTACATAGCTATATGAAGAAGAAATCTGAAAATTACTAAAGTAGCTATTTACGTATTTATTATTTCTATACTACATACATATTATTGTTTTTTTTTAATTAAAGAAGATTCAATGGTATATATCATATAATCTGACAATTATAGGACCTCTTAGAAGATCCGCTTTATATAGGACTTCGACAAAAAAGAGTGCGCGGCAAAGAGTATGACGACTTTATAGATGAATTCATGAAAGCGGCAATCGAGAGATTTGGTCCGAATACGCTTTTACAGGTATTATTTTATTTAAAAAAATAAATAAGTTTAAACTTAAATGTTTAAGCTTTTGAGAATAATTTCATATTATTTTATATTTGTTTTTACAATTGGATTCCTTATACTAATGTGTCTCCCTTTACTGTTTCGTGAACTACTTTAAAAGTTCAAATCTATTATATATATATTTTTTTGTATATTACATTAAATTACAAATATTGTTTTAAGTTATATTTATATTTAAAAATAGTGAATGTCATATAAAAAGTTCAATTAAAATTAATGGCGTCTCTATCAAAGAACTCTCCTAAAGTTTAGTAACTATCGGTTTTATAGTTTGAAGACTTCGCTCTAGCGAATGCTAACAGATTGTTAGAGAAATATCGTGATGAGTATTGTACGTTCAATGACGATATACAAGGTACTGCGAGTGTTGCGGTCGCAGGTTTATTTGCCGCTAGTCGAGTAACTAAAAAGAAACTAAACCAGAATATTTATATGTTTCTTGGCGCTGGATCTGTTAGTAATAGATATTCAAATTATATCTCTTATCTTTTTCATAATACTTTCTTATATTTACGCGAATATTTGATATTTTAAATAAAACTATCTTTTCGGATTTTCAAACTGTCGGTATCTCCCATGATCATGAATGTTCTAAAGCATTCGAACGTCGGGAACCAAAAATAAAATAAATCCACGAAAAAATCCGAAAAGATAGTTTTATTTAAAATATCTTATTTTGTTAGTATGGATATAACGATATTCTCTTAATGTGGTCTCTTCAGTATGGTCTTTCTGATTACACTTACCTACATTCTTAGGAACTTCTCTATCGAATATCACCTAAACTCATTGCTGAACAAAGGATTTTGTTGTTAATCTATTAAAAGCTTAGTAAAAATTTTATGGTTAACAAATGTAAAAATATTCAGCTATAGGTATCGGATTGCATCATACATACTTAGTATTTTCTAAAGACCTTTTATTTTTATACATGTATTGTTGCATAATTATATTTATTTAAATTACATTTTCACATAGTTTTTTTAGCTAGTAAAAAGTACTAAAATAGTTTAGAAAGTTTGAGATATTTGCTAGGCGGCTACAGGCATAGCCAATTTAATAGTAGCAGCTATGGTCGAAGATGGTATGAAAAAGGAAGAAGCACAAAATCTAATATACATGTTCGACGTAGAAGGGCTTTTATCGAAACGACGAAAAAATGGTCTTCCTGGTCACGCGAAACAGTTTGGAAAAGATATTGAACCGGAGACAAATTTTGAGAAATGTGTAGCAACTATTAAGCCCACCTGTCTTATAGGTCAGTGTGATAATATCATAAAAAATAATAAGAAAGCATGACATCTATTAGTATGAAGCGCGCGTCTTTGTGTCGAACTAGACTGGGTCAAATAACAAATAATTATACCGATAAATCAATAACACTCAAGTCAAGTAAAAGTGGAATATCCACACTAATATTATAAACGTGAAAAACCTTTTCACGCTTAATCTGCTTAACTGATTTAGATAAAATTTGGTATAGAGATAGTTTCAGACTCTGGAAAGGACATAGAAGATTTTTATCCTGGAAATCTGCACTTAAGGGTAATGACGGGGATGGAAGTTTGTATGGGGAATCAATCATTTGAGTCGCTAGTACTTAATAAGTAATTCGCAAAAGCCATTAGTTTTATATTATTCTAGCGACTCACCGTCGCTTAGCTTAGATTCGTCCCTAGCGTGATTCCCTGTACAAACTTTCATCCGTATTTTTACCCGAAGGTGATTGAAAGAATGCACTTAATTACTGTCCAACTAACTCTTTCTAAAATCACTTAATTTGAATAGTAATGCCACAAAATATTCTACATCTCGTGATAAGAACCTCAAGTTAGTTTTAAGTACGTTAAGTGAACCTTCCCTAACTGTTATTGTCTAAGGTTGTTCAACTGTTGGGGGCGCATTTACCGAAACAATCTTGAAACAAATGGCTATTAATGCTGAAAGGCCTGTAATATTTGCTCTTTCGAACCCTACAAGCAAAGCTGAATGTACTGCGCAAGCTGCTTACGATCATACACAGGTTATAATCCTAAAATGTTGGTAGATTAAGTTTAGAAATCTTTAGAAATAACTAGAAACGTAGATTGTAGAGGTGTTGTAAAATTTATATCTAACTGGCATTCCTGGTTAGGATAAATGTTTATGTTAAACATTGAAATTTATCGTGCGTTCTTCTTAAATAAATCGTTACACTGGTCAGCGTGATCTAAGCTAAGAGCTTTCAACTTCCGTTTAGAATATTTAGAATAATATACGCGTATTTAATAAAGTACAATAATTTGTGTATTTAAAGATCTATATAATAATAGCCGCGGCTTCGCCCGCGTTCAAACTTCCGATATAAACATTAGTTTTATAATAATGTATGGAAGTCTGCCCGATTTGTTGACATTTATGATTACTGCTCCGCTCCCTTAGGTAATAGCATGATGATATTATTATAACCTATAACCTTCCTCAATAAACGGGGCTAACGCAAAAAGAATTTTTCAAAGCGGATTAGTAGTTCCTGACATTAGCGCGTTCAAACAAACAAACTGTCTTTATAATATTAGTATAGATTATAATGATATTAATATTTAATGATTTCTGTAAGACTTTCATACCCACATTTTTTGTTGGCAGTTTATTTTTGTGACATCAATAATCCTTTCCCTTAGAAAATAATAATAATAAGATAAAATAATATAAATATACATACATATATATGTTATCATTTATAGGGTAAATGTGTATTCGCGTCAGGCTCTCCTTTCCCACCCGTCAAGTATAAAGATAAGGAATATAGAACGGGGCAAGGAAACAACTCGTATATATTCCCCGGCATAGCGCTCGGTGTGATCGTGTCCCGATCTCGGCGTATCACTGAGAGCATGTTTTTGACTGCCGCTACGGTAAAAAAGTCTCATCTTTATGATATTGTATTTACAGATATAATAAACAAGTGATTTACCCTCGTTTCGCTCACACGCCACTCTAGGTGCTTGACAGTACCTTAGCGTTACTCTAGTTCATAGTTTATCTGTCTACTAAATTTCATCCAAATCTGTCCAGCCGTTTGAGCGTTAAGGAGTAACAAACGTACAAACACACGTAAGCAGTCATATTTAACTAATTTTAAATATTTATTAATTTCATTATCAAATTTTTATCTAGTATGTGTAATAATAATAATTTATATATATTTTTGCTGCCGCAATTGTTGGCTTTGTATTAAAAATGTCTCAACTAATAATGTCGATATAGTAAGTATCGTAGGATGCTAAAAATTATGTAAATGGAGACTCATATGCCTCACTTATTAAATAAACATGTATTTTACATAAGTCATAAAGCTTCTAAAATACATCAAACAGTTTTTATCCATTATATATTCCTATTAACATAAAAGGTTGTGTTTGAGAAAGTTTTATCAAAAGATACACATAACATATTATTTCAAACACTAAAAATTAGTCAAGCGCGAAATATGATATCAAAATATTACCAGATTCAAATGCATAAGCCGAAGCCGTATTAAAATAAACCGCCACAACAAACTCGTAACTTACCCATTTCCCGTTTATTTTAGAATTCAATTTGCATTCGTATTGTATTGTTGAAAAAGTTGTTGCATTCAGCAGCGTGAATTCAAGTATAGATAAAAGTAGGGATCATTTCAGACGTTGGCAAACTTTGTGAGCGAAGAGGATTTGGCGCTCGGCCGAATTTATCCACCGCTCAGTGATGTCAGGAACGTATCGCTTAACATTGCCATCGAAGTCGCCAAGTTGGCGTATACAAAAGGTATGTATGAATATTACTATAATAATGAAATTAATGTATGCATGTAACAAACTACCATCGTAACTATCTTATACTGCGTATAGTATATGGTAGAGGTAGAAATAGACATTATAGATTTTTTAATAATTTAATGTAGAATAAAAAAATATTATTTTGAGTCTCACGCAGGTTTTTAGTTTGTTTCTTTTTGTCTTGATATAATGCGGCTTAAAAGACTAAAGAATATGTAAATTTTTTAGTGCAAAAGCTAGATAGGTATAATATACCTACAATTAAATATTTTATATTCTAAATATTTATTGTTTCTAAAGTGACATTATTATTTTACTTCAAGTATTATAAAATACGCTCATTTTATTATTATTTTATACTATTAATTATGGAGTGCAATAAATGTTAAAATAATGGTGCTGAGTTTTTTCATTTAGATTTTTTGTATTTGTTAGAAAATTAAAAAAATTACTTGAAAACCTAGTATAGTGACATATTTTTTCTAACTAGAACAAAGGCTTTGAAGCAGAAGTCTAGAATCAGCTCGCGTTTTCTACTTTTAAACTATTCTTAATAAAAGCATGGATAGTTTAAGAAGACGAGTAAGAATTGTAGTTACTATTTAAAAGAAACATCATAATGTTATTGCTTCACTTAAAATTGTGTTTTTATCAAGTTAAATACATTCTAGTGTGCGTGTGTATGTGATTATTTTACTTTTAAACGGCTTAATCGATTTTGATGACGTTTTTGTTTAGTTGGACTCAACTAGATGGTTCTTAGCTATAGTTTAACCCGGTAGGTGGCTGTTGTCGAAATCCAGTTTTTTTTATTATTAGTCCAAACGTTGTCTGTCTGTGGCAGGACAACATCAGTCTATCGGCTCCACTATATAAGAGTACATATTTATTAAGTCTATGTTTTACATAGAGAAGAAATAAAATTAATATTTTCACAAATTAATTGGTTTTTTGAATCTAATAATATCTAAGTTAATAATCGTAGCTTCACGTCGCCATTTTCATTAAGAAGTTGAGAAAATCTAAAGATGCATTTCTTGTTGCTTGTCCTTTTTTTTTAACGTAAAAATGAGCTTTAAAGTTCAGTTCGTTATAAAAGAAGAAGCTTTTACCGAGTCTAGTACCACAACGTGGGTAGTATGAAACTCTAACGATTTCAGTCATTTCACTGTCATTACGTGGCAAACAGGCAAATTCTATTCGCACTGTGCATTACTCGCAATATAATAAGTAGGTACTTATCTTAATATATATATTTCTTGTGTGCGTGTGTATGTGACTGAACTCCTCCAAAACGACTGGACCAATTTTGATGAAATTTTTTGTGTGTGTTCAAGGGGATCTGGGAATGGTTTAGATTCACAATTTGAATAATAATTTTCATCAAAAAAATTATTAAAAAAAGTTTGAAATTTTCAAATTAAAGACGTGTAGACAGGACAACGTCTGTCGGGTCCGCTAGTATTGTATATATTACCAATGTATCTAATCATACGAACTACATACTACATACTGTACAACATCATACATACTTACGAGCTTCTGTCTTGTTCGTGATTATAAATTGACACTAATTAAAAGATTTTCTAATCAGACTATGTAACTGGTTTACTCGCAGCTTGACTTTCATAGAAATGTAAGGTAAAATAGAAAATAGTAAAAATTTGATCGGAATGTTAAACACCTTTAAAAATAATAAAAAGACATGTATAGTTACTTTCACATCTTTAATATCAGTATAGATTTTGTTAAAACATTTTTTTTTATTATACATAAATACAATAATTTAACGAAATTCTCTACTAAATTCAAACGTAATAACGTTTATATTTTGACGTATTCGTAATTATGAGTATCACTATATGTATATATATATATATATATATATTTATAAGTATACTAGCATTCCCCGCGGCTCCGCCCGCAATCAGATGACCAAAATCCAAATTCTTAGGTTTTACATATTAGTATACTCTTACGTTGCAGTTTTTGTATTTTTTCTCAGAAATGAGACATTTTTTCGCGGTAAAAAGTATCCTATATGTTGATCCGGATAATCCGCTATCACCATACCAAATTTCATCAAAATCCCTCCAGTGGTTTTTCTGTGATGCGGTAACAGACAGAAAGACAGACAAACAGACAAAAATTTTAAAAACTATAGATTCGACCTCTGTATCGATAATAATGTTTATTTCAATGAGATTTTCAAAAAAATATTTAATGTACAGATTCGTCTTAGTTACAACTTTATTATATGTATAGATAAGTGCTAAAATATTCTGACAAGTAAATGTTATTATTCTAAATGGTTCTTAAAATAATTCTCGTAAATTCGCAAAGTTAGTGTACACAAAAAGCATTTAAGGAAGATTTAGAATATATATATTGATTTGAGCGCCATTGTCGCCATCCTCAATTGTATATATTCGTCAAGTACTCCAGTAAAGACTCGAAGTCGGCGTATTCTGAAGCTATTGTGAATTTACACAATGTAGTTAAACTTGACTGAAATGCAAATGATCAACGCCGTCTAAGTAGTTTATATTTAGATATACGAGTAATTTGGATTTCCAAGTGTCAACTCAATAGTTTAATTTTGTTCTTTATAACAAATTCATTTGTACGTGTTTCTTATTAATTATTTGAAAATAAGTAGGTAAAAAGAGTTTTTCATAAGGTTTTAAGAGTAATTTGAAATCTAATACTATGTACTTTAAGGTATAAAGTAAATACTAAAGAACTAGATTATAAAGGTGCGACTTATCCTGACATTGCTCGAGTGCATCTCTAAGCTTGCATGGTTCTACAGAAAAATCCAACATAGTTTCATCACATTCGAATCTATGGTTTATAATCCATAGGGGATAAATTTACGAACATTATTTCTACAAACACGTATTTATTTAATTTTATTAAAGAGCATATTAATACCAAGTCTCGAGTAATTCTGATCATAAATCATTTTTTGGTTTGTATCATAAAGTTTTTTCTCCAGCCCTCCAACTATTTCCACACAAAATATCACGATCAATCGGTCACTGTTTCGACGTGACAGAAGGACAAACAAACACACTTTCACATTTATAATATTAGTATGAATGACACCCGTATCCGTAAATGGTATTTAGGTACATTGTGCTGTCCGTTTCAAACATACCTAAATACATTATTATCTTCAAATGACATTTTTAGAAAAACTTAATTTTACTTAGAATAAATATTTTTTTAGATTTTGCAACAGCATATCCCAAGCCTAAAGACTTTAAAACCTACATCCAAGAACATACATACAATCTCAAGTACGATTCGTATATTCCAAAATTCTTCAAGTATCCCAAAGCACCAGATATTAAAGTGAAAACAATTGAAGAAGTATACAAAGGAGTTGTGTGAGTAATATTTATGGTTCATAGAAAAAGGTGCATAAATCAATAGGTTATGAATTTTATTAATAAAAAACAAAATGCGTGATATAAAGATCTTTATTAATTTAAGACTAGTTCCAATAACTTATATAGAAGTAGTGTAATAGTAGTATTTAGACATAATAGAGTACGGTATAAGTGTGTGAATGCGTGTTTGTATATATGTATATGCGTCTGTGTGTAAGTAGAGGTTGTGTAATAAAAGTAATATTAAAAGATGAGTCTTACAGAAAATAATATATATTGCGAATTTTCGGTGGTCATAGACTCCAGGCATATTCTGTAAAGTTCTCTAAAGTAAGAGAGTTTTAAACTTAGTCAAAATTATATTAAAATATTAATTATTCAGTTTGGTGTAGATGTATGTATGTACCCCCCCAACATGTATGTATGTAACACAATATATATTATGCACAGAAGTTAAATATAAAATCTCCTTATTAAAATGTTTTCGTTGCGACTGTTACATATAGACATACTTGTTTTATGTTTATAAATACTTTATAATGTAAAAGCCGTAAATATTACTTTATTTTAATATTAAAAATTCTAATTTCAGTGGTACAAAACATTGATATAGTATATTTAAAAAAAGTCAATGAAGTTGCAAGATGTTCTTTCGTAGCGTTCATTATATAACTTAGCATTTTTAGCGAAAGAAACGTTTTTAAGAAAATTAGTACCAGAATGAAATAGAAATTGCTGAAAGAAAAAATAAGTATGCGGAAGAAAACGGTCTGCCACTTTGTTCTTTGTGTTCGTTCCGCTTATTTTTGGTTTTGTAATTTTAAAATAAATGCACGTTACTATGTAAATTTGATAGCTCGTTTTATTTTACTTTTCATGTTTTCGTTATCTGAAAAATATATTATAATTTAATAAAATATTTTTATTGTTATGCCATTTTTCTTTATATAATATGTCCTTATTTAAAAAAATTGTAATAAAGGAATATATCAAAAAAAAATTCATAATACATATATTATACACCTAAATTAAATGTAATGAACATCTAATTATACTATGAAATTTGTTCATTTTTAAATTTCGCAGCATATCTTGATAGAGTTAGATGTAACATGACAGATGGTTTGCGTATACACAAATTAGACCGTTGCCTTGCAAAATGTTTTCAAGCTGCTTTTGGGTACTATATGTAAACTTTCACTGCAGTCGAATTTCCTTTTTCGGCCTTTACTTTTGCAGCGGGGAAAAGATTGAACTTTTTAATAAAATAAGATGAATCTCTTTCTTTTTAGATGTGGAAAATATGGCGCCTTTCTAAAAATATACGTATAGATTAAAGGGTTTTCACTTCTAGGACAAGTTGAGAGGAGATAGTACCATATCCCGTATGGACCGAGGCAATGCCTGATAAAGTCTTTTTTTTCCGCTAATAAAATTAAAGTATGAAGATGTATCTGATATCTGAATCTGTGTTATTTATTTCATTAGAAAACTGTTAATACGACTTCTGTGAACGATAATATTGTAAATTAGGTTTAAAATACAAAAATTATAATGCTGGACCAAATGTTTTCAACGACGTGCATTTTGTCGCTATAATTTATTTATAATCTAAGCAATTTTAATATTTTTTTACTATAGACCATGTTAATCACCGATTTTATTACACACTAGTGTCTTGATATACTAATCATAAATCATAATATAATCGTTGATTAAAATCGCAATAAGGTCATCCACATGCGAGCACGTTAGCTAAAGCAGTACTGTTAATCACTGCGAATGATTTTACGGCTACATTGGGAACGGCCCTGTTTCTTTGATAGTCCTATTATGTTCTCGCCAGTGTGGGCCGGGCTTTTAAAGTAATGGTGGCAGTATTGTGCTAACTGGGTTAGCAGCTTTTACGGTCTTTGTGGAGCTGTTTAGTTATATTCTGTCTCTATTATCGTGCCTATATTACATATATTTAGTTAGCCGAGAGTTATACTTATTTACTTACACGTAATGTTAATTGAATTCGAAAGTTTTTAATATTATATTGATTCGTAAATTGTATCAACTTTCGATTCTATACTTTAAATTTTTAGTATCGGTAAAAATTTTGATTAACAAGCAATTTTGATATAAAAAGCTTGCAATTGTTAATATATTATTTAATTACTAATAGAGTATTGGAAGAGAAATGTGGAAAATACAGTTACTTTATTTAGCGTTGAAGTGGAAAGTACAAGTTGTAACTTCTGTTACTCAATCTATTATGGTTTCCGAGTTACTAGTTCAAAGTAGTTTACCGGCGAAGTAGTCGAATATATACAGGAAACTGACAAGTCGCTTAGTCCTGCCACCTCTTATTGCAAGTACAACTCTCTGGAATATCCGTAGCAGTGTTTACATGGTGCATTCTCATTCGTTCCATTACTTTGAACCATCAGGTATGTACGAGTTTGACTCGCGTGCAATTTGATTACTATATAGCTGGTAAAATTATTGATGAGAGTTTATAGTTTTATCTAGTATCTAATATCTTCTAATACCTATCTATTCATATAGCGAAAACTTAAAAAAAATAGCTCTATAACAGTTGATTGTGTATGTGTTATTTAAAAAGTTGCCAATTGAGGTTAGACACATTTTTTTAAAATAAGTGATTAAAATTCCAAAAGTAATTTAATGGATACACATGACCTCTCTATGAGATTGTTGGTGGTAAGTACTAACATTTACCCGCCGTTCTGCCTGTTCAAACAATACAATGATCATACTATTCAGCTGTATATGTTAGTATATTTTAGTAATCTTTTGTTTGATTTCAAAATAAAGTATTTGTACATTTTTGTTTTGATCTTTTAATATAGAAATGACTGACTCGTGCACCGAGTGTTCCAAATCCTGGTGTGTTTACTCACGTATTTCTTAGGCTTACACAAATATAAAATACGTACGTAATCACATTACACATTTGACCGCGAAATAAATCATATTTTAAAGTCAGTATATTTAAATACGTTATAGAGAACAAAGTTAATTTTGCAATCGCTATACTGATAAAATTGTCCGCCAATCCGCACTTGGTCAGGCTGTATTTTGGAAGCTCTATTACTTCAAATCCTTCAGAATTTCTGACCCCATTTTTGAGCGAAGAAAAAGGTGGCAAGGATTGAATACAATATTTGTAACGTAAGCATATAAAGAATATTATAAAGCCAAATGTTACACCTAAAAATTACAATCTTACTAATATAACAAATATGTTTTTTTTTATATTACTCTTTAACGCCGGAACGGCTGAACAGATCTGGATGTAATTTGGCACAGAGATAGATTATAGTCTTGAATAGCATATAGGTTATAGATTTTTATCCCGGAAAAATATACGGCTCGCGTAGGATAGATTAGTTTTTGTCTAGTTATATATAAACAAGCTACGGGAAAGGAGCCGCGGGAAAAGCAATAAATAATGTTGACAAATAGATATATACATAAAATGAATATATTAATAAGTGATATGATGATTCAAGTGACGATGTCACCGTCCAGTAAGATTAGCATTTTTGATATACATTCCCTTATATTATTATTCGTAGTATAGAAGTCAAAAACTTTTAGGAAACTCACAGTGCTACGCGATGTAGCACTTACGTAGCGCTCATTATAAAACTGAGCATTTTTAACGAAACAAGTGTTGTTAAGAAAATTATTTCCAGCTTGAATTGTTGCGGAGAAAGAATAAATTAGGTACGAGAAAGAAAACGTCTTAGTGGTTTTTTTAAATCTTTTCTTAATTGTAGGAAATTTATTGAACATATTCAAATTAAAAAATTGCTAGAAGCGTTTTATAAATTAAATGCATGAAGTATCTGTCCGTGAAATAATTTCTTCAAAAGATTTTTATATTGAAAAAGTTATCTCGATGAGGTTATTCATATCCTACGAATTTAGATAGCATCTTCTGAATAAATGGTCCCATGAAAATCACGTAATAAGAATCGAAAGGTTTCTTTCGGGGAAAAATTCTTATCTGAGCTTCCGTAGTCTTTCTTTCGGAAATTGAGTTTGCTTTGATTCTGAGTACGACGTGTTAAGTTGAAAATGTTTGTTCTGTATGAATATATACGTATGAGGAGAGTTCGTTGGAACAATATCCCGAGGTTATCACGTTACACGCCAGATGGTCGTCTACACATATACAAACTGGACCATTGCCACACAAAATGTTTGCAACACTGCCTCCGTGTATACTATGGGTTAGCGTGTACTGCAATTCGAAAATTGGCTTACGCATTGACAGCGGGACAGAGATTAAAAACAAACGAATGAAAAGATATTCAATCTAGTGAATGAATTTCGTGGAATTAAAAGTTTCTGTTTTTCCCATAATTATTGCCAATCGTGTGTCGTTTTTCTTTATTGATATTTATTTTAATAGTGGATTTCAGTTCGCTATTTTTATAGAGATTTAAGTATATTTATGCATGCATAAATAATCAGTATTAATAAAATTATACGTTTGGAAATCTTGAAGACAATTAAAATTTATATTGGACTAGAAACTCACCCTCACTCACCCCTCGGGTCCGTCCTTGTAGGTACGTTTTAACGGTTAGTATGGAATAGATAGACTATAATAATATATACATAGGGATAATGAGTTTTAGATCCTTTACTTGAGAAATGATTGATTGCAAATATACAAACTTCCACGCATCTTTTCTTATCCTTAAGTGATCATTTCTGGGATAAAAACTATTCTATGTCCTTTCAGCCCCGTTCAGACTAAATTTCATCTAAATCGGTTTAGCGGATTAAGCGTGAACAGGTAACAGACAAACAGAGTTACTTTTGCATTTATTAGAGTGACGTAAATAGATAGCATGAGTAAATAGATAGCACTAGGAACTATGTCGCCTTCCCAAAATCCGAAGTTTCATTTAAGAAATGAGAACGGACGCTTTATAACCACTTATATAATGTTATCTGTTGAATTTGTTTGCAATG